GGCGCCATTTTATTTGTCGCCTTTTTTGGCTTGTCGTGTCTACTCTCCGTGGCCACGATGCATGTTTCAGCTGCATGATGATACAACCCTACGGTAACCTCCACTCCTCCCGCCAGGCCTAGCCATACTTGACCGTCTCTCTGGACAGGTCCTCGTTGATGACCTCTGCTGTCGCGTATCGCCCACACTGCACAAATTCGTCATGCCACTGGGGACCTACATGTGGCCATGTCATTAGGTAGCGAGTTCAGTCTGGGATCGCGAGCCACCTCTTCTGACAGCAAAGCTTTCGCCTCAGAGGCATTGAACATCTTTTGGTTACTCGATCCGATCCAAAAGGTACGAAGCTCGGGTCAGGACATCTGCTGGGCAGCAAGCAAGGTCGCACTGCTCCAAGCTTTCGATGTCCTCGAACAAAATTTGTAATCATCCCGACGCAGGTAATTCGACCAAGGTGCCCGGATCTTGGACCCAGATGCATGATCTACAGTGTTACGTATGGAGGGCTCATCCATATAGGCCTATAGGTTTCAGATCAAGCATGACCCTTGCCGTGATAGAAGTGAGATGAAGTGAGAAGAGTTTCAAAGACCTTGTAATCCCGCACATTTGAGGAGTTGGCAAAAGCAGCTTGCAAACTGGAAGAGTCCGCCGATGGCGGGCCGTGGACTCCGCAAATTTCAAGCCACTATCTGTTTCGACTGGCTGAAACGACATCTGGCAAGCAGGGGGAAAGGGACAATTTCTAACACAAGCATGACAGTTCTCAAGAGAAGACTAGCGGCATGAATCTGTGGAGGCTCTGACTTTGAAGAACATAAACAAGGAGAAATGTAAATGAGGGAGAGTCTACGAACTTCAAGGCTTCTTGGTGCGGATCCAGGCAACAAATCAGCTGTGTACAGTAGCGCGCCGAGGATTGTGATCGAAAAGCATGGGTTGCACCAGGGTCAAAGCCCACAAATGACCCTGCAAGCCCTTTGCTTCTGCCAGCAGCTGGCCTCAGCCTCGCAAACGATCTCCAAGACTGAAATCTCCTGTCAGCCGTGGGCTTTTTCAGCCACTAGCTAGCTTCCAGGCTGACTTCAGCGGGAATCCGCAAGTGCTTGAATCCGGTCAGACCAGTTGGACTAGTGCACTTCCATACGCAGCTGCGAATTGCCAAGCTCTCTGCTCCCCACCTTTTGCCGATCGCGTGCCACGTCTGACGGCTTCTCCGGCGCATACAGTCCAGCCTATCTTTCAGAGCTGCTGCTTCATTGAAATGCTCTTGCGGCTCAGGCCATCTGTATTTGATAAGATCATTTTCTGTGCGCACCCCGCAATCTTGCAATCTGCTTAACCTATCTGACACCATCGGCAACCATGCCAATGGACACGTGCGGCATCACAAGCTAAGTGCTTTGCCATGCGCAGGGCGCGGTAAATGCGCCAACCTTGTGCACTTTGCTACAGCTACCGCAGCTCCGGAAATCTGCTGTCCAGCTTGATTACCCCCAAGCCAAGAACAAAGCAAACAATAAATGAACCCACAAGCACACTGTTTACCCAAGACCTACGATTTCAAGCGCAGGGGAGAATGAAACAAATATTACCTGCGATGCTACTGTGCGCTATGCCGACCAGGCTGTAAGCTTGCGGCACGAGATGCAAAGTGCCAGCTGGAGCGACACGGACGCCAGAAGCGCCCACTGCATAAGGACACTGCTTTCAGTCAGACAGCAAGCCTATGTGGAAGGACTCAACAGGGGTTCAGGCACGAACACCTCCGGCCTCCCAAACACCAACCATGGCTTCTAAAACGTCCACCATCCTGGCATCGCGAGCAAATTTGAGCAACTAATTGCGATTCTGAGGGAAGCGTTGATGACCACTGAGCACCTAATTCTGCGAGCTCTGCAGACCTGCTTGAACTGCCCTCTACTTGCAAGGCGCACGAGCGGGAGCCGGGTGCCAGGGGTCGTGGTGTGGCCACGAGCATATACCTGCTCTGTTGTAACATTGGTGAATGAAAGGAGGTCTAGTTTTCACGTTGCCACGTCGCACTGCACAAACACGCTCTGGCTACACCAGCATGTCACGCTCATGCTGAACATCTCTGAACATGCACATGTGGCGGATGCTTGCTTCTTACAAAAGCTAACCCGCTGCAGCGGGCAGCTTCCAGCAGGGCACGCGCCAAAAGCGCTCAGATCTACGAGGGACATGGCGAACACCTGGCGCAGGCTGTGGCCAGAATCTCAACCCTCTGCATTAGGGCATGTCATCCCCGGCTGATGCAAGTTTTTGTCAGGGATGCCAGTGTAAGCATGGGGCCGAGGCAGCCCTTTTGGACGCAAAGACCTGCGGTCATTTATCTCACAGAATGCAACCCAAGATCAAGACAGCACCGCGAAGCGCTACCCTCCGCAGCACATGCAGGCACCAAAATGGTGCGGGTGCTTTAAACCTTAACTTAATCCGGCTGGATTCGCTGCCCTCATGTCTTGCGGTATGGGAGCCTCGCGTGCCAAGCGCAAACAGCGGGAGGCTGCAGAGAACACAGATCATATCAGACCTGTGCTGGCCGTAGGGGGTTGCTTGAGCTCCAGCTATCTCGAGCTTGCATATGTGCGGCGCACGCAGCAGAACATCTGACAGAACACAGAGCATGTGCTTGCAGGAATCGTTAACTATCTCTGCAGGCCCCTCTGCTGCTTGAGTGCACTACTCACTTCCCCTTCATTCTGATGCCGCGGCGGTGTGTATTTTCAGTGTTTTTTGCGGCTTGAATTTTTCAAGGTTCTGTCAACAAAGTTTTGTGCTGTAGTTCATCCTTGCAGTACATATACATATCCTGGTTAGGTTCGCAACAAATCCCCCTCGCACAACTATGTAGCAAATTAGAAATAACTTCGACAAATGCTGCTAAGTATATGGAGTGAATCCCCACCGATATGACTAGTACAACTCCTACAAGTTGTCATATCCATATTGGTGGTAGCAGGACTTGTATGGTGGGCTTGCCTGTGTAAATAACCATGCCAAGATTGGCATAGCCTGTGAGAATATTTCATGGAAGTTTACTGGCTTTCCCTCTGTCACTCCATTCATCTTATCGCAAGGTGAAAAGGGCGTGGTTTTAACATATGTCTCTACCTGGCTTTCCCTCTGTCACTCCATCCTCTTCTCCCAAGGTGAACCCAGGGGGGGGTGCATTTACGTATGTCTCTCACGGCTTTGCGTTTGTCATGCAATTCCTGTTATATTGCAAGATAAAGGGTGCGAAATGGTTCCTGAGTCGGGCGAAATAGTTTCTGAATCGTAGTTTCTGAATCGGGCGAAATAGTTTCTGAATCGCAGTTTCTAAATCGGCGCAAATAGTTTCTGGATCGTAGTTTCTCAATCGGGCGAAATAGCTTCTGAATCGCAGTTTCTAAGTCGGAGTAGTTTCTTGAATCGGCGCAAATAGTTTCCGAATCGGTGCAAATAGTTTGTGAATCGTAATTTCTGAATCGGGCGAAATAGCTTCTGAATGGCAACTTCTGCATCGGAGCGCAAATAATTTCTGAATCCGTGCAAATAGTTTTTGAATTGCAGTTTCTGAATCGGTGCAAATAGTTTCTGAATCGCGGACAGTTTCTGAATCGGTTTTCTATCCATCCTGGAAAATCCCCAGCATCTCCCAAAGTGTCAAAGAGATCGTCCTAGATGATGCTTAATCCAATCTCATAAAAAATAAAAACTGAATGAGGATTTCTGTTACCAGGGCGTAACGTTCTGTAACATCAAACGACGTCCGCCCAAATATTGAAAATAATTATCAACGGCCCGAAAGCTTGTTCACTTAATGTGGCTGTGGATCAGCAACCTGCTTTGTCGCGGCCCTGGGACCTTTGTCACGAATGCTCGGCACAGGTATGTTCCAAAAAAGAAGCTTGGCGCTTGCCGCAAGCCAGGAGATTCTGTTGCAAGCCCATGTTGAGGAATGGCTGCCCACGCCTGTTGAGAAAGGTCATATATGCCCTCCTCTAGACAGCTTATAACTTAGAACATCACCAGACGGAAACTGAAGCAGGTTCCAAACTCGAATCAGATCCCCTTTGCACTCTTTCAGATTAAAATCCCTTCTAGACAAAACATCAAAAGATACAAAACTAGGAATTTGCGGAACGATATCCCTAATCACTTCTGATTCCTTATTATAACCCCCCAGGGACCTCAGAACTCCCCCTAATTCGTTGGTACGGAGAGGTACCCTCCGAAATTTTGGCCTCTGGAAAATCATTTGAGATTAGGGAGGGTTTTCATCTTCAAGGAAGAGATCAATGCCGCTTTTTGTACTGTTTCTTGAAAGCTGAGGCGGTCGCGACGTGGTCAAAAAATGCATAGCATAAACCTCCAGCTAGGAAAGCATGGTGCTTAGCTCTGATGATCATGTGCAAGCATCTGCGAAAGCTTAACAAAGCAAGCGGAAAAAACAGGATCACATGACATTGTGTGACGACAGAACATGGCAGCTTTCTGAAATGCAAAATCGTGGCTGCTTGGCGCGCTGCTGAATAGCCGGGGATGTTCCCCTGGTATGCTGCTGCACTTCGTATCATGGCCAAAACCTGAGGGCCAGGCTTGACATGAATACGGGGACCCAAATTTATTGGGTTTATATGGGGTTAATGGACAACAAAATTGAAACTACAGGGATTATGGGGATTATGGTTGGTCGCTGTAATCTCGTTATCAAGTCTGCAAGGCTGTTCTCGTATGCGAGTCTCGCAATGTCAGTTGCATGGCAAGATTCTGTCGGACACTGGGTTCGGAGCACAAAGACCCCAAATGGAACACCTGGCATTCGGACCCAGCTAGAAGCTTTTGCACAACAGTCCCTTCTCACATTCTGAAGGATTTTGGCTTGATGGCCTGCCATGCGCGAGCGGTCGCTGCGTAAGAGCGGCAACCTGTGCAAGTCGAGGGGCTTAGATGTCATCAATTCCAATCGAAAGAGTGCCGAAAGCGCAGTCCTTGGCATGGGCGATGCGCAGCCGGCTCTCCAAAGCACGGCGCCGCGCTTGACGGTCAGAGGGCAGCTCGCCAACCAGCCTGCGGAAGATTCCGAGATGTTTGCCGAGACACTCCGAGAAACGGCCTTGGCAGATTCTTTGCACAGCCCTCCACTTCGACCTCCCTCGGTCCAAGGATGGAGGCAGGCTTCACACAAACTTTGCATCGACAGCCGCATTGAGCAGCATTCTCACCCAAAACACGCCAAAACAAAACCATGCAAACGGTTTTCCTCATTCATGTAGTCCCCTCGCCCTATTGCTGACGAGACGAGGTTGCAGCTCGTCATCCACTATGCCCGACTCTATCCTTGGGAGCAGCAAGACTTGAGCAAAGCTTGAAGTGATGTCGCGGCGCTTGTCTTGGCTTCGAACGTTTTCGTCAGCGGGTTGGCAGTCTGCGCCTCAGCTGACACATGGTTAAGGGTTCGAGCTATGCGAATCCAAGACGCACTCGCTTCTCGCAGCTTTTTTTTCCACATGGCAGAATTTGGAGCGCAAGTACTGCGAGTGCGCAAAAAATGTGTGTCTTTTGCACCATGTTGACTGCGTGTACAAGTGCTGTTACTGCCGAGCTTCAACTACGTACATGAGCTTTATCAACAAGGGGGCGACGCACCAGAATGGAACGAGCAGTCGCTTGGTGTCCGACCACCCTGGCATAGGCAGATTCCTGGCCAACTTCGTGACATGTGATTTTAAGCCCAAGCTGCAGCTTTCTTAGCACTACTCCCGTCTTCACGCGGAGCACCCAACCTTGCACAATCCCCAAAAAATCCCCAAGCAGCCGGCGCACCGCCATCTGTGCGCAGGCCGCCAAAGCGGATCCACTTCGTACCCACTTTGATGCTCCAAGAAAGCTTGGCCCATACGTCTGCTGCAGTCTCTTTTGCATACGGCTTCCCGTCCACCCTTTGCTGCTTTGCTTGTACCTCCTGTGTTCTACATACGAGAATTCTCAACTGCAATAGCCTGGCTCAGAAGCTTACTTCCAACTTGCCCATGGGCAAGCATCATACTGCATGCAGCATGTGGTGAGCTTTCTTCGTCTCACCCTTCGTCCGGACCAGTCAAGAGCCAAATCGCAAGCGGTACCACACTGCCAGTATGCCATCATGATTGCACTCTTGTGTCATGGCTTGTTTGCGCTTGGTGCAGGCCGTCGCCCCAAAGTAGATCAAGCCATGGATCAAAAAAAGTCGCTGCAACAGACGCTTTTGTATGCCTTATGTCTTACGATGCACACGATGCACTCTTCGGGATTGAGCATACAATTGCCAATTCATCCTGATGTCCAGGGGCATTGAACCATTACAAGTCACAAGTCAGCAACAGCTATGAAGGCTCAGAATCGCGATGAGCAACCGGCTGACCGTGGCACGTACCTGTCAAAGGCTTCCACCATATTATGAAGGTTTCCGATAAAATCAACACATCTGCGGCATCTATATCTAAATCCTTCTCCGCTTGCCAGAGGCAGCGTTGTGGAGCTCTTGTGGCCCCGGTCGACCCGGCTGGTCCAACAAACGCAGCACGAACCATTGTAGGGCTGGACTTCAGATGTGCAAGCTCGGCAATCTCAAATACTTGCTCACAAGCTTGTCATCTCAAAATCAAATTCTGCGAAATATTGAGGCTTCATCCGCTGATTGTTACCGCACTTTTGTGCGCTAGGCTCTGAGACTCTGAGATCCCAGGCACTTGCAAGCTCAGTTGAGTACTTGCACAACGGTGTGGGGAAGATGCCCACTTGCCGTACACAGGCCATGCCTGCTTCCCAAGAAATACCTGAGGTTGCAACAGCAAAACATGCAAAAGACTAGGTGGACGGCTTTGCAAGAAGAGGCCAAGACATGTCAGAATTCCTGAAACAAAGCATGAGTGGTTTTGTTTCTGGAGAGAGCACGTCTCTTCCCGTCTGCTCTGCTAGCGCAGCATGCTGCACGTCCCATGTGGCCAACCAACAGGGTAAAGTGATGGCAAACCGTTTGACTCGTAAGTATACACTGGCCGGGAACAGCACACGACCCGATTCGGCAGCACACCCGCACTGTTGTCAGGGACGACTAATACATGATCTGAGATCCCGCCTCTCGAGTTTGATTTGCGCTCCCGCTCCTTCTCAGCATCTAGACAATGATGTCGGTTGGGCAAGGCTTTCCGAGCCATGAAGCCAGCTTTTCGGCATCAGCCGGGGAGAAAGTCCTTGGCTTTCAGGGCCCCAACACTTACGCTCCAGGCGCTAACAGCTGGGCTTCCACGGCTTCTAGGTCCCTGCATGTAGGTATGGCGTCTTACAAGGCCTCGTCTGGGCCAGGGAGCGGATAGATCCTCCGCATTGCTTTCAAGCAGTGTTGCGCCCCACCTGCAAAGTGCAAGCCATGTGCAGAAAGGCATGACATTCATACACCTTTACACCGCCCAAAAGGTAAGCTTGTGAGGTCCCTGCCTGTTGCGAGATACCAGTAGTAGAAAAACATCTCCTTGTCAAACATCTTCTTGGCCGCATCCGCCGCTTCCATGTCCAGCTCTTGACGGATGAGTCCCAGCAGCCTCTGAACCTGTGCTGGTGACTTCCTCAGCCGCAACATCTCGCAACATGCTCCAAAAGTTCGGGCCAACTCGGATCTCGAAATCAGCTGAATCAGCCGTGCAGCAAAGCTTCAGAGCTATGTTTTCCTTCTCCCAAGGATCAGCTTGCAAATCAAACAGCTGGCTTGGCCAGGTGGCTGCTCCAGGCATCAAAGGCGCGTAAGTGATTAGCTTCAAGTTTCCCTGCCGGATCATGAAGGTGCCCGTGGCTGAGAAAACCTTGCAAGTTCAGGTGTGTGTCGCATTATCATGCGTCTTGCAGGATCCCTCCATGCAAGCCTACCATAGCCAAGCTGTTGCTAAACTAGCGGAGCAGGGCACAGAATGGTATTCTGCCACAACAAAGTCCCGCTTCTTCGTGCGATGATCTTTGGCCAGAGGAAGGAGGGACTCCTGGTGCTGTCACTCTGCACTTGGATCGAAAACTTCTGTGAGTTTGGAAAAATATCGGCCTCTTACCCGAAGAAAAATCTGTCAACCCAATCTGAGTTCGCCAGGAGGCTCCCACTTCATCACCAGTTGGGCTGATGCCAGCCATATCCAGTATGGTTGGATAGATGTCCTGAGATGGAGGTAGGCTCCGGCTTCCATGAAGTCTGTATGGCAGCCGGCTTGGCCCCTCTCCGCAGATTTCTGCAAAGTTCTTACTGTACAAGCAGTCATGGCGTCTCCAGCTCCTGATGGTTTCGACCGCTTAGATCACTCCAGGTCAGACGCTACTGACCACTCGCTACTCAAAACCAAAGCTCTGTTCAAAACCAGCAGCCCTCTGCATGAACTGGCATGTGCGCTTGGCTTGCCAGGGTTCATAAAGCGAGGTCAGGTCTGGGATGACTTGGCCTTTCGCAATTCCCGGGCCGGCCACCATCAGCGGAACCCGCGCGGCCGCCTCGAAGAAGGAATTCCTTTGTAGGCTGCATGGTCACGAAGCAAAGAATTTTGCTCCAGTATCGGTGCTGAATTGTTGCTGGTAGACTTAAGCCAAGGGACTTTCCCAACATGCGATTCTCTGTTGCGTGCTCCCCGTGGTCGCCAAGCATGATGACCTCTGAACACTTCCGAGGCGTCAACGGGTCAGGACATACCCATGCCTGCAGCCTCATATGTTTGTCATGTTTCTGCCTACTCTTTTACAAAGGTTCTAAGATCCCCGAGACCCTGGCTGGACACCCTTGGTCGCCATGAAGCAGTCGCAAGCATCCTGCTAGGCTTTGTGCCTGCGGTAACTGCCTGCGTGCTTCCACATTCCAAGCCCTCACATCCCGCACGCCTGACGCCAAACTTCCTGGCTCCCGGTACGGTGCCCTTCCACAAGCTCGGGAGCCGCGACGCACACGCTACCGCGTCCCGACGCAGGACATGCTCAGTCTTTTGGGCAGGGCAAGAATGCCACCTATCCGGATAAAGAACATGCCCATTCTTCTCGGGGATTCCAACATGATAAGCCTGTGGCAGTCGCTCTGTGGAAATGCTGTACTTTCATTGAGTTCTGCGTAGTGTTGCATGGTTACAACCCTGGAGGAGACTTCGGAAGTTTGGCCTGCTACTACAACACCGATTGCGGGTGAGCCGTCTGCTGATGTCTAAAAAAAATACATATATATGTATACATATGCATGGCACTGCAAGCCTCAGTCAGGCTGCCAAGAAACGTAGGCGTCATCCAAGCTGCTACTACGCCGGAAGGCATCGATGATGCGTCCCAACAGCTGGTCGGCCTCGATGCACATGGAGAAGTAGACCTTGCGCAAGTGCGCGACCTCATGGGGAAGAATCACAGTGAGGCCACTCAGTTTTGGGTAATTACTTCGTCCTAAGCGTACTGCTTCTGAACTTCCTTCAGTTCAGCCTGCTTTCGTGATCTTCGTGGGCATCGGGCTTAACTTCCTTTGCCCGGCTATGTTACAGGCCTTGTCGGGCGCAGCCTCGTCCACACGCCAAAGATTCTTGGTTTCTGAGGCATACTTGTCCGCTGGGTGGACCTCTGACTTGGGTTGCCAGTGGGGCAGACTATAGTTTCCCAGGTCAGGCACCTCGGCCAAGTAGGTTGAGTTCGTCCAGAACGGCCTGTGAGGAACCAGCAGCGAGCAATAAAGAAACTGCGGCGTAGCGGACTTGAAAAGTCCAGAGTCCAGGAGTTCTGCGCAGTTCCGGGTCGCCACATAATCGAGGGGTCCTGTAGCCGGCCATGGCAAGTCATCCTTTGTGGGGAGCTTTGGGACCTCTTGGCTAGGCGAAAGTCCCAAGGCCCGGGTCCACTCCATGGCCGCCTTCGGACTCCTTCTTCCGCCCCAAGGCTCAGCTTCGATCTGCCCCTGGTAGCGGTGTAGACCTGCACCTGCGTGCATCTTCCCCCAAAGCGTGATGTTGTACCCTGAAGTGGCCAAGGCGTCGATGAAAGTGCCGTTCACCCTCTGGCTTCTAGCAAAGATATGGCACGTCTCCTCTGAGAAGGTTTTGATGCAGTGAGAGTCTACATTTTCCACGCTACCATTCACGTTCGCGATGCCGACAAAATTATCCCAAACCTGAGAACCATCCGTTTGCAATGGCATGACTCGCATCGAAAAAGCTTCCCAAACCCACCTTGATCTGGGAAGGATATCGGCCTGTCAACATGGAAGATCGCGCAGGGACGCATTGAGGAGATGATGAATACGCCTGCCAGCGTAGGGCCCAGGCTCTCAGGCTTCAGACAACTCTAGCTGAAACTGTGCTGGCTTGGCATCAAACATAAGAGATCCTAACCAAATGGCCCAGCGCAAGGGGTAAAACTGCACAGCGAAATTGCACAAATGAAGCGTGCAAAGGTGAAGACAGCGCAAACGACGCAAGCTTTCTGCAAAGTTTGAGTAACACATTAAAATGCAAATTGCAAATACTGGTCTTGCTTGTCGCTACTGTTGCATGTTGCACTCTTATATGTTTGAAATATTCCTCGAGCCTCAAGCCCTACCCAAACCTTGCTGGAAAGCCCAAGAATGGAGTCCAAATAGGTTTTGCTTCCTAAAAGCGTAGAGGGGTCACTCCTCGCATGTTGCGATGGTCCACCTAGGTATGCTACTTCTGTTTTTGGCATTTGGCCCTTGTAAGGGATGATCCTTTAGATCAGCTTGATTTCGAGACACATCTATCATTGAGTTCTGGTCTTGCCTGAGAAAATGGGGCACTTTGCCCATCGGGGAAGAGCAGCAGCCACAGCAGTGGCAGCGCATTACAGTAGCAGCAGCAGCAGCAGTAGCAATGGTTCCGTCTCCAACAAATATTAATAAACACCAGAGTAATACAACCCTTCTGCGCAATTGGGTTTCGGTGCATGTATTAGCTCAAGAGTTACGTGCAACAGTTATCCAGTAGCGTGACCACAAACAGATTAGAACCGCCTTCCATGGGCCAATCGCAGTTTCGCCGCGTAGAAGCTTAAACTGAAACCAGCATTGGCTTAACCTTTGAGACGAGCGCATGACTGCTGACCACCAGAAGTAGCAGCAGCCGTAGAAAAAATATTGCTGGGAAGGAACAGTGGTGCTGGGATATGAACCTTGCTAAGCAGGCCTCAGCACGTAAACTGTGATATGCTGACCCGGTGAGCAAGACATAGTATGCTCTGTGACGCGGCCATTATTCTGCCATTGAAATTTCTTGGATTGTTGTTGCTCAGTATTCCAAGATTCCGACGGTGTTTGGTACATAGTTTGCAATGGAAAGTACGCGGTACAGCCTCCGGGGTTGGGGATTGTAGACATGGAGGAGTGTCAAGTAAGAGACAATCTGTAATCTCTAGCCGAAGATACGCGTGGATGAATGCTCACTGCAACAGCATACCCGGCCTACCAGCGCGCGACCCAGGACAAAATATCATTCCGTCTCCCACTGTCACTAGCAAGCCCAGCTCCAACCCAGGCAATAGCTTCTGAAAGTTGCTGGGCGTCGGCCATAGCGTGGCGAGTACAGTATACTGAGCGACGGTATGTAAGAATGCGCCTACAACTTGCATCAGCTGAACTCTCAGGCAGGCTTGCCAGGCAGTTCTTCTGGGCATATGGACTGACAAAAAGAAGCACGTTTGCACGCTTGAGAATCCACTTGGCGAGAACTGTTCAGTATGATTATGACTTTGGGCAGCAACTTTGGTTTGCCACATTGATGCTTTGCACCCTTTCACGTTTACGGAGCCTGAACCTTGGCTTCCTCTTTTCGCTCTTATGCTCGAACAGGCCAGCGCCTTGCGTTGCCAAGAGGAGGGGTAAAACGCGATTAAATAGTGAATTCAGACAAATGGCGAGGCCAGCTGAACTGTGAGGAACAATAATTACTCCTCTACGCTGAGCTAGCTTCGGAGGGGTACTTGTTTGCCATGTTCCGCGCCTGAGGAAAGTAGGCACCTTCTGCTGCCAGTGACCGCAAATTCCGCAGCGGCGGCTTGAATTGCGGCGCATGATCATCCAGCAGTCGTCCATCCATTTGCTTAGCGAGGCGGAAGGGTGAGATAGGGATCCAGCATGGAAGCTTGCACAGGCATGCAGGCACGATCAACGACTACGTAAGATTGACTAGCTGAAGGAGGTGGTCACTGATAGGCTGCGGCAGTACGTGTCAAAACGCCGAAACTTGGTGGGAATGGGTCACCTCCCGGCATGTGCACTTGCTCTTCCGAGATCTTAAGAAACGAAAAAGGAACCTCAAAATGCTACATAGCTCGGAGACAAGTGTCGTCCACCATAAGGAAGAGGATATGAGGCTTGCTCTGCGTCTCGCCACTTGCGCCTGCGGAAACGGACATTCCTCGACACCCCTCTAGAGCTGGGTCGCCAGAGACCATCTTATGTCTAGAGGTACTCACAAGCCTCCCCTCGACTCCCCCATATGCTGGCGGCTATCCGTTGCATCTCAAGCTTGTGTTGCTGTGACTTGCCTGCGAATACCAGGCCGAAGGCGAACAGGCAGAACACGCTATGAATCGTCATGGCTTCCTGGTCTGCCTAGCTACAGATCTCAAAGCCAAGCCCAAAACTGCGCAGGAAACACATATCCAACGTCAGAGTAGCGCACGGCACTTGGGTTTGCAGGTACAGCTGGCGTTGACAGCCGATATGAGGGGACTGATGCTGAACCATTCATTCTGCTTGGCGGGGGCCCTCAAGAATCTGACTAATCCCCAGGTGGAGCGGCTCCTATTCCCTGAACGACTCCAGGTGCCTGCAAGTTTGGGACTTTGTACCTCAGGATCGCAAATGTCAGAGACGCTCGGCGACCTGAACAGGAGATGGTTACACCACAGCCAACAGGAAAGAAGAACGTGGATCCAGGATCTGCTAGGATGACGCGGCTATCGACTCGCTCTCTGTATGTCCTTCTTGCTCACCAAGCGATGCTGGCTTGCAAAGCGAAGTGCTGGTCGCGCGCTCAAATCAGTGCAACGATCCACGCGATGCAAGGTTCGTGCTACGCATGGCGGGTGCCTGTGAGCTGCTGCTAGAGGGAACTGTGAAGGCCGTGCTTGCGGAGCGCGGCATCGCTCGGTACTGCGGCAACCGTCGCAGGATTCACTGGCATAGGCCTCCGAAGTAGCCCTTTGTATGTGAGTCCTGGTCTTTGGCGGGGAGAAGTGCCGTGAGATCTTGAGGCAGACTCGCGGTGAGAGGCGCAAAGCAACTCGGCCCTCTTCCGCTCGCCCATGGAGCAGCTTCTTCAAAGAGAAGGAAGGAATGAATGAACGTATGAAATACCATATCTGCGGCAGAGGACAGCCGCATGATATGCAACAACACCATGCAAGAATGCAGGTCAAACACTGTCCACCCAGGATGAGCACTAATTACGAACGACCCTGGTATCGTTTCACTTTGCTTCCGGCTGGCCTCAGCCTCGCAAACAATGCCTACGGCTGAAATCTCCTGGCAATCTACCATTCTCTAACCGTGCCACAACGCGGGCTCTGCGAGTTTCAATGCTTGCTTCTAGGGGTATCCTAAATTGCCAGAGATGTCTTCAGACCAGTTAGCAGCACTAAGGCACTCCATTGCAGTCAGCCGTCAGAACCTTCCCATGCTTGTGTAGACCATAAGCAGTTCTGAATGGAAGGTCAGACTCCCAGCTTCCCGCCTTTTGCCGACCGCGGCCCACGTCTGATGCCTTCTGCGGCGCATACAGTCTAGCCTTTAGGGGCTCTTGGATTGAAATTGTTTCTTTGTGGAAGCACTTTTGCGGTCCAGGCATTACCTCCGAGCGTGACAGAGGCTTATGGGCCACTCAATCATGGTAAGGGCACTTTGCAATCTACTAATCTGGCCAACTCATCTGCCAGCTTGACAGCATCGGGAATCCTGCAAATGAAGATGCACGCGAGGCAAAACTAAGTGCTCCGCCATGCGGATGGCCCGGTCAAACCGGGAATTTAGCACCTCAAAGGTTTGGTGGTGGGGATGAAAAGGCCCTGGCCCTGGTCGTGAACAAATTGAGCAGTCATGGTAACGCTCTCACTAAGGCACTAAGTAGACTGGACAAGCATTGGCACACTTCAGCTCATAATGTTGTTGCTGCAATCTCTTTTGGCGGGCCCTGGAATTTCAGTCAAGGCCCTGCGCAAGCCACTTCAGGGGTTGAGTTCGTGATTCCATGGCCTGTTTCAAGAACCACTTCACGCCGGGCATCCTGGGACACCACAGTCCTGGAACCCTTTGCAGCCAATCTGTTGATGATGAGCTTCCACGCTTTTGGTTTGATCCCCAAACCGCAACACGCCTGTTGGTGCCAGGGTGCATTCTTTATGGTTTTCCTGACAGAGCTTGATAGGCATTGCTACGCTGGTCGCTGCCATTTTTGACGGGGTGCAAACACTCGGGCCGATGCTCGGCAACCGTCCGAACTTGTTTCGCTCCAGCACATTCTCGACTACCTCGTCTCATGGTTGGCGGCATGAGCCGGAGGCTCTTGAGTAGTTGCATTTCCTGATTGCAGTGCGTTAGTTGGGTTTAGTCGATCTGCTGCATCACACCCTAAATCCTGAACCCTAAACCCTATATACTCCCCTACCTGACCCCCCCTTACCTGGTCTGGGTTCCCCGGTAACCCCTCTAAAGGATACATGCAGGCCTTGTCAAGGGCCTGTGAGAGGAGCCAGCTCTGTTGGACGCCAACACCTGCAGTTGGGGCTACTAGGGTACTATAGGGGTGTTATTAGAGTTGTTTAGGGGTAGGGGGTCAAAGGCTTCGGGATAATGGAAAATGGAAACTACAAGAGTAATATAGGCGTTATATAAGGCTTTATAGGGTCATTGGCGTTGCACAATGCACAGCGAAAACCCTCTGACAAAATATGCAGGCAGCGGGATCGTGTGGCTGCTTTCAGGGGTTTCTGCTGGATTTTTTCCCTGTATGTCTAGGCCTCCCACACGAGCTTATCTGACTTCAAGCTGAAGACTGAAATGGTCTGGGACCAAGGGGGTGCGCCCTGTGAAATTTTCAAAAGGGTGGGGTTAGGCTTGGAGGCAAGGTAGAGGCTTTGGACACAATAGCCTGTTCTTAGAACCCGGAAAGCTGCACTTCAACGTTCTGTATTAAAGGCCAGTTCTTGCCCCAGCCCCCCTTGGTACTAGAACTCAGGCGGAGATTTTTGGCTCAAAATGCTTAAGGTTAAGGGGAGGGGTTGGTTAACACCTTCGCCGTTCTTTCTAGCCAAGACAAATCACAGTCGGCACCAAGGTAACACAAATAGGCGGGGAGCCCATTTAGATCACTTGGGGATTTTGGGAGGCTACCACCCGTAAGCATATCTTGCTCTAGAGAGACACAACTCTACACAAGACTTGAGCGACCGAGCCTTGCGCAAAGGAGCGTCGAAGTTCGGGGTAGCGCCGCAGCGCTCGCTTTGGCTTCGAGCGTCTTTGTCAGCGGACTGGCAGTCTGCGCCTCAGCTGATACATGGTCGTCAAGAGTTCGAGCTATGCCAAGCCAACACATATTCCAATTCTATAGCATCTCCCCCACAAAATAGAATTTGAAAGGTATTAATACTCCGACTAGAATACCTCTATGTCTTTGCGCCGCGTTTGTGGTGCACATTTGCTTCGATTACATGAACTTTAACAAAAAGGGGGGCGACGAATCAAGCTACGATGAGCCAGAATGGAAAAGAGCATTCGCTTGGTGTCCGACCCTGGCATAGGCAGATTCCTGGCCGATTTAGTGGCATGTGATGTTTAGCCGAAGCTGCAGCTTGGCCACCTTTACTCCCGGCTCCGCACAACCCAAATATGTATATATTCCCCAAGCACCTGGCGCACCGTCATCTGCGCGCAGGCCGCGCCAAATGAATCCACTTCGTGCCCACGTCGATGTTCTGTTCCAGGCGGCTTCCAGTCCACCCCTTGCTGCTCGGCTTGTTCTACAGACCGGAATTCTCAACTGGAATAGCCTGGCTGAGAAGCTTGCTTCCGACTTGCCCATGGGCAAGCATCATACTGCATGCATGGTGAGTGAAAAAGGTGGCCTAGGCATGAGGTGCGCTTTCTTCGTCTCACCCCCTCGTCCGGACAGGTCAAGAGCCAAATCGCAAGCGGTACCACGCTGCCAGTATGCCATCACGTTTGGACTCTTGTGTCATTTCTTGTATGCGCTCGGTGCAGGCCGTCGCCCTAAAGTAGATCAAGCCATGGATCAAACAAAGACACTGCAGCAAACGCTTTTGTATGCCTTGGCAGCAATCCTGTATGTCTGACGATGCATACGATGCACTTTTCTGGACTGCACTTCTGCAAGAACAGCCGGCCAAGTGGCTATCAAAGGAATAGACCTTGAATAAATAGAGCCACTGGAAAAGTGCATTTTAAGCAATGGAGCAGTGGAGCTCCGTGAGAGCCGTCTCTCTTTCTGAGCGGTACGAGCATACACTTGCCAATCTGGATTTCGATTTGAAAAATCTTGAACCACTCCAAGAGCCACTTCGGCCACATGTTCGGCAAGTATGGCTCAGAATCGGCACACGTAAGAGGATGACTGCGTCACATACCTGAAAAACATGTCCCTACATGAAGCAGCGGCACGACATGCCTGAAGGTATACTGCAGCCCGGCCTAACCCATCTGCATGGGTTGTAGGACTTATGTCTCTCTGCGATGCGCAGATAGCGAACCTGCCAGGGATTTACAGGCAAACGCTCGGCCAAAGCTTCTCATGTGTCCGCTTGAATCACTCAATCTGTGGCCTTATCTCATTTCATTCCATGCGCGCTTGCCGGAAGCATTGTGGAGCTCTTTTTGCCCCGCTGACACAGCATAAACAACAGCAGCTCTGTACGTTGCCAGATGCGGAACATCGCAGTCTCAAACGTTTTGCCGCGCGCTTAAATTCAGCTCGGAGAAATCAGTGAAACTTTGCCCGCAAACCATGTCCACTTTTTTTTTGCTCGGTCTGAAACCCGAATGCTCGCGTGCAGTACACAGGCCATGCTTGGTTCCCAAGAAATACCTAAGGTTGCGCAAGCAAAACATGCACGAGTCTAGGTGGACGGCTTTGCAACAAGAGGCCATGACATGTCAAAATTTCACATCAAAACATAAGTGGTTTTGTTTCTGGAGAGACCATGTCTCTTCTAGTCTGCTCTGCTAGCGCAGCATGCTGCACGCCCCATGTGGCCAACCAAGAGGGTAGAGTGATAGCAAACCGTTTGATTCCTAAGTATACACTGGCCGAGAACAGCACACGACCCGATTCGGCAGCACACCCTCTCTGTTATCGGGGACAACTAATAAATGATCTGAGATCCCGCCTCTCACGCCACAGGCAACGGCCACGGTCACGCCCAGGTCAGGCCCACTTTGGACGATGGTGTCGGTTGGGCAGGGCTTCCCAAGCCACGAAGCCAGCTTTTCGGCACCAGCTGGGGAGAAAGTCATTGGCTTTCAAGGCCCCATGACTTACTCTCCAGGCCCAAACAGTTGGGCTACCACGGCTTCTAGGCGATTCTAAGGGCGTCAAGAGTGCAGGACGAATTCGTCGTTTACATTCACCCAGTTTCCCAACTCCAGCCACCTCTTGATCCAAGGTTTTTGTTGGCATCTTGGCTTTGCAATTGCAACCTCGCCCCGTACCGTTCCTGGTTGCTGCTGTCCAGCACCTGCTCTACGTCACCTTTGCGCCGAGCTCCACGCAAATCTTGCCTTTTGTAAGGCTCTTCTCGAACAGCGCTGGAATCAAATCGTCGGAATTACAGCCAAAATTCTCAAATTGCTCTAACCTCCAAACAAACAGCTTGATTCCCGGATTACTCGCAATGTCGCACAAGTGGTTGGGAATTTTGCAGGTTGGAGATTAAACAGCAAGCCTGCAAAAACGAGACCGAAGACGAAGAGGCAGACGGCCGGTCATTCTTGGGACGAAAAAGCACATGCACATTTTTGCGACAGTTTGGCACATGCTTATGTTATTCCCGGCGTAACAGTCCGAGAGAAAAATTGAACCGTTAATGCTGGACCCTAATTCTTTCGTCCTGAGCCCTCACACCTGAAGCCCACCTCCTAACCCCTAAACAACCGTACACCACACGCACCGCATCTAATCTTCGCTCAACAAACTCTAGACTGTACGTACACCTTAAACTCGAAACCCTGAACCATCCCTAAACCCCAAACCTTCATCCCCCTTTCGCCAAAACGCAAGCGGCAAGCTCAAATCCTCAACCCCGTCTGTACGGGCTGACCAGGCTCAAAGAAACCCCTGACCTTTGGCGCAGCTGCTGCTATGGCTTCTTGTGGCTTGCTGACAGAGACCATTGCCGCAAACGGAATGTTCCAAATCAAGACGGAAAGCCGTTTGGGGTTTAAGGTCCGACTTTACTTTTACTGGCGGTAAACGAGGGGTGGGAATGGGAAGATGTTATAGGTTTCGGTCTTCTGTCCGCCTGGGCGAAGATCATCTTGGGGCTGGAGATCTCGGGGAGATACTCCAATCCGCTGAAGTCACATCAACTTCTGCTGACGCGTGGAATCCCCAAGGAACGCCGACCGTCGACCAACGCAGAAAGTCACCTCAAAATGCTTCCCGCAAAGAAAAGTTTGATTGCGAGGACAGAGCATCCTTCGGATCCCCATGTGGGCGCTAGCCACATCATATCCCCACAATGGTTGTTAGCAGGTGTTTATGCAGCAGTATGTGCGCAAGTTTCTCAGTGAAACGCTGTAACTTCATGATCGCCTGTTGTTAGATTTTGAAACATTTTTTGAGTTCATACCTAGTTCCTTACCAATACCCCGCACCGATGCCCCTTTGTACAGAAAATGCCTGCTGGGTGGACCAGTGACCACCGCTTCCTCGTGTGCTTACTTAACATGGGATGCCAACATGGCCTTGTATTCAACTGTGCACACCCAGAACAGCAAGCAGGATCAGGCACAAAGCCTTCGGGCGTTTCTCAATTGATAGCGCAGTTCCGTGTTTGAACTTTGCACGTGATGCCATACAAATTGCATGTGAATTCCTGCTAAATCACGACCAAACTTTCCATTTTTCCAGCTTGATCCTCAGAAAGATAACCCCCAAACCCCCTTCAAAGGCTTTGTTGATACACTTCTTTGGGAGCACTCGCCCGCTTAAGGCAAACACTAACATAAAACCGAGACGACTTCAACAGATTGGAGTACCCTTCTCAGACATCAGGTCTGGGACTAAACGTCACGCTGCAAGTGCATATCACGAACAACGCAAGACAGCCCATGGCCGACGCGATCAGAACATCGTCGCGCGATCTTCATGCAATCCCTTTCTATGCAATGACAGCAATGAGAACCCCTCGAATCCAAAGCACGGTTCGCCTTACGCCCTCTGGCCGAGGTGGCATGAAACAGCTATGCCTGCATCGACGACGACGACAAGGTGAACCACGACATGTTTGTTTTGATTCTTCTTTGTCAATGTACTCATACCACGATCCCTCTTTTGTTGATTTTGTTTTGGGGGTGGGGGAAGGGGCGCGAGGGGGGGTCCAGGCGTGGCCGATGGGGCCTAGCTGCAGATCTCAAAACACTGAGCCAGACACCGCGCATGAAGCCAATGTGTTCGCACAGCGCAGCAATTGATTCGCAAGCATTAACAACCAATACAGGCATTGTATGGCAGTGCTCTGGTTGCCTGAGAACAGATGCTAAAATGCCAACGCATGAAGCTCTCGACGTAAGTCTCAGTAAAACCCATCTTCACCAGCGCCTGTAAGTTCGAGACGTTGTACATTGGAATCTCGTACGTCAGCGATACTGGGCCGACCTGGAGAAGTGATTTTCACACCAAAGTCAATAAGAAAGGAATTGGTGGAGGACCTGCTACATCCTACCCCCTTTTTCGCTGCCCAATCACTGCCTCGAGTCGGAGATTTATTGAATCTGCCAATCAAATTACACCAGCCTGGACCCAAATACAATTCCTGCAGACCAAAGGCTTACACTGCAGTTGCACAGTGTTGCAATTTGTGGAACCATGGTATGCTCAGCATAGCATGCAATGGTGTACTGCAACAAGGCACGGCGGACGAACAGCAGGCAAACAGATCCTGGATTCTGGCAGGGAGGGACAAGATGACACAAGACTGAAGACAACCAGACAACAGGAAGAAAGCAGCAACGTACTCGTGCAACAAGGCGCGTTTCGCCCGATCTGATCTAGCTGCCTGGTTACCAAAGGAAGCGCAAACCGGTACGACGGTCCTAGTGTTAATGTTGCACCGTTGCAGGTCGCACCATCCGGTTCCCATACTCAAGAAGCAAGAGAAGAATTGAGAAAGGAAGGCCGCAATTTTGCAGGGTCGCTTCACCATCCGCTATCCGAATCAAGTGGGAACACACGGAAAATAACAGGGAAACAACAAGCACAACTTCCTGGGGGCCATTGTGCAGAATAATAATCCAATTGGGCAGGGAGACTTGGGGCATCTGGAGCTGCGGACCGTCGGCAATTACCACGGATCCTTTATGGCAAGGGCAACCTGGGCCTCGTCCAAATTTGACGAGGTCTGGTTGCCAGTTGCTCGGGCACTTCAAGCTTTGTGGCCCCTCTTTCTGGAGGCAGTGCTTGTTGTCGATCGTGGCTGGTCTTCCGGGCAGACGGAGGTGTGTAATTTCATTTGGGTTCCGGGGCATGCATTTGACTGGCTGACTAGCGGTGGTTTTGCATTGTGCTGTAATGGAAGCAGGATCGCATTACAAGTCATTAGCTGAGCGCGCTTGGCAGCAATGCGGCGCAAACGGGCAAGTTGTTACGGATGAGCACTTGGCCGCGTGAAGAGCTGCAGTGGACGTAGAGGAATCTTAGCGAGCGGGAATGTCTAAAGAATGACGATAAAAGACAGAGTTGGTGTATTTCAAAATTTCACCCTCCGTAAACCTCTCCAAGCAAAAGAAAAGGTCATTTTACATTTTCAGTTCACTGCTTAGATTTCTTTAAGCAAAAGAAAAGGTCAATTTATGATAAATTTCGTCGCCCCCCTCTCAAAGCCCCCCTTGAAGCCTTCCTTCCATTTGGCCCCTCCTGCGCTTTTGCTAGCTTTAGCTTTTGAATTTGAACTTCCTACGTGGGGAAAAACCGAGTTGGGACTAATCCTTGAGGTAAGCAAGAGTGGAATTTCTACAGCGGGTTGCATCGCAGCATCTTGTTCGTGGGCCGAACCAAGAAGACCAAATGGGACTCTGTAGGCAAACAAGAGCTGCAATCCTACGACGGAGCATATCACACCATCAAGCTGTTGGGCAGACAAGGAGACATGAAGGGCACAAGAAGATGTTGTATGAAGTGAAAAGAGCGCCGGGATGTGTCCTGGCACCGAAAAAAGTGCCAAGGAGACAAACTTCACAACACAGATGAAACTTGCTGGAGTCTGGTGACTTATTAAGCTGTCGAGCCATTTTTGTAGCTTTGTCTGTAAACTTGGCTTTAGCCTCCGGTGCAAGTCTGTCAGGATCCGCACGCATGGCAGGATGATACGAGTACCACAGGGGAGGGATCTAGAACAAGTATGCCTTCATTCACCACAGGAGCTTTCTTCGATTGGGTGTACCATTTCGGTTCTAAGTAGTGAGCCAACTAGCAATGATGCCATGCTGCGCCTCCTTCTTGATGTTCTGAATGTTCGAGACAGGCGCAGAAAGTGTGACGCGACACTTAATGGCAGCCTCCCAAGCGTGCTGACGTCAGTTGTTGTTCCCCAAGTGCGTGTGCGGATGATCCAGTCAGCCTCTGTCCCGCCCTGGAACTTCTTGATGTTCCAAAGCAGCCGATGCTCGCTAGCCAAGTACCTGCAGTAGAAGGCTTGGAGTGAAGTGTCAATGAGTGCAAATATTCGGGTACTACCTTATTTCGTGGGGCTAGCCAACTCGGCTGAGCTTCGTCCAAGTAAACATGCACGATGATTCTTACATTCGCCCCTAGGTATCCCTTAGCAAACGCCGAACAACTACAATAAACGGTACTGGGATGCACTTGCAAAGCATGAATCCAGCCGGCAGCCCTTGATAACACATGTTTGCCCTGAGTTTCCCGCTCAGCAGACTGCCCTGTCGTTACAGCAAGCTCGGTTGAGACCGACGCTGACGTCTCACAGGGCATGACAGTCGCTCATGTATCTGATCGGCTGCATTGACTTGCAGCAAGACTCAGTGAATCCTGTGGTCGTGGCACAAGCCCATGCTCTAGATGCCCACGGCTCCTGCCTTTGGCAGCATGCAGGAGATTTGCACGTTGCCGCCGTAGTTCGACTCGGGGATATCTGCGCGCACCTGGCGGCATGAGGCAACATTGAGACATGCTCTCTAAATAGCCACAATAAAGCAGTTTGACAAAGCTCAAATTGCGGAAGGACACAGTGCGCCGCAACAACAAAGCCTTGATGGTGATCTCAATCTTGTACGGCGCCTGCTGCTCTGCAAATGGAAATATCCTCGCATGTGCTGGTCAAGACATGGTACAGTACATCCTTAAGTCAGAAAATCACCCAAGTCTGCTCAAGCATGGCGGCACAGTTGGACGAGGAAGCGAGTGGCAGCAGGCTCCTGAAGGGAACGCGGAAATCGCCGGTGATGCGGTAGTTCATGACCTGACCCAACAAGGCCCTCTGACTATGCTTCAGTGTAAGGAAAGATGAATTTGGAGCTTGGAACATGGCCGCAAATTCGCCATCTGGTGGATAGAAGGACAGGGTGCGCAAATCCGAGAAGTCCTGCCAGACAAAGCTCTTCCAGGATACTGCTTGGAGTTACTTCAGTTGACATTCGGGAGTCCTGCAAGTCCACACACTCGTGGAAGTTGCAGTCGTCCAGGATAACGGAACCATATCCTGAGAAGCTCGGAACACGCTGCAGAGGTCAATCCTCAGGCCCAGTCTGTGATTCAAGCTGCGCGCCTCCATGGCTTCCACCAAGATCCATATTCTTCACCACTATGTCCTTCGCAGCCATGTCTGCAGCTGAGATTGCTAGAGAAAGGACTGGCAGAACTTGCTGTCCTCGTTCAGGGCAAGCTTCAGCTCTGGATTGCCCATGAGGTACGACCTTGAACAGTGTCGCAACTCAAGCTGCTCAGAACCTGCTGCTTTCCCCGCGTGTTTTCTGCCCAGATGTCGTCACGCTAATTTAGGTCTACTTCAACCCTTCAGTGCTGGAGGGCATGCCTGCAAACTGAAAGCCTGAAGCGTCTTTCCAAGAAAGTTCAGGCAAGCACAAAGCTGAGTCAGAGGCTTCATCTGGATGCTGCCATCAATGGCACTGTTGATGACAAAGCCGTTAGAGCTCATCAGCACCTACACAAATGCTCAAAAAAGGCGCAGGTTCTCCAGCTCTCCGGATTTCTGCCAAGCACTTGCAGGATTGCTTTGAAGGGGTGTCGAGAAACACGAGCAAACATGAAGTTGGGAAGGCTTCCGAAATCGAGTCTGCCGGCCGCGCACCGAAATTCGCTCCAGGATGTCTACGAAGATTTCGTTCTTCTTGTTCTTGGCATCGTGTGTTGGCCCGACCTTGCCAGCACGTCATGCGATTTCAGGTGGACATGCTTGCTGTCTTTAAGAACAAGTTTCACCATTGAGCTTCTCAAAAAAGCGCAGACTTTGCAGGCGGTGGCTTGTAGTCTCAGAGTCTCATGCAGCTACCTTGAGGAAATTCACCCGAGCCGGCACCAGCTCTTCAACAGACGTTGCTGATTCCCGCAGGTGGCTTTTTCGAAGCTGTTGTTCTGTAATGCTCATCTCATGCATATCTACACTGCTGGACGCTTGCATCAGCAAATCTGGCCTACCTTGCTTGATGAGGCTCACACTGGCCGGTGGACTGCGTTGCTGGGCACAGTCCGGGGATTCCACTGCGGTAGATTGAGGCCAAGCCTCAGAAGCGCCAAAAAATCCGGAAACAACAGGAAGAAAAATATCGCCTATTGCACTACCGATGATGATACAAATGCTGGTCTCCACCATGTGTTATGCTTTTGATGCAAAACACCCTTCCGCGAGTCCTTCCGCACGCCTTCCGCAAACCATTGCAGTTTCGCTTCAGCGAGATATTGTTCTTTTCTTGGACCGTGGTGTGACGCTTGTGTCTGACCAACCTAAAGAAAGCCTATGCTCATCATTGTGCCCTAGAATAATGGTAGTAATAGTTACGGACACTGATGTGGAATCATCTTGTTGCTCGCTGTTAGCACGCGTGTGCATGAGACATGCAAGGGCTTTCGCAAAGGTCCCTGGCCAAGCCTGAAATCTGAACCCATCGCTGCTTACTGGCATTTCGAGCCACGAAACCTGTTCTTGTGAAAGGTGATTGCTGATCATGCTTGTTCTACTGAGAACCTGTACTTCGTGTTCTGTCTCAGTCTCAGCAGGAGCTTGCGCAAGCCAAGCCATCTCCCTTCAGCGGAACTTCCGCGTCCTTCCGCCACCAGACCCGCGCGCGTTTTGGTGGTCAATCTCAAATCTTGTGTGGGTGCTCGTTTAACAACACCATGCTCTTCAATTCGCACAATCTCTTGCAAAAGCACCCAACTGCCAGACTTCTAGAGAATTGAGCTGTTGATTCCCTGTTCCCACGAGCGAAACTGTTCCCGGTGTCTTGATTGTGGTGCAACTATGGGGACCTCATGCTTTTGCATGTGGTGCAAGTCAGGATACCCACTTTAATCACCATGCTTAGATTTGGCTGGCGAGATACGCATTGCATTGAGGTGGGCTGAGCTGGCTCAGCAAGATCTGCAACAAAAGCCGGCCCCTTGTCATCAAATACGAAGATCCACTAAGATCATCCTTGCAGACAGGCATCGAGACAAAAATAACAACGGTGCTTGCATTTAGAGACCTGCTTTGACGCTGGACATGCTGCAGATCAGACATTAAGCACTGCCCAAATTCGTTGACCACTCATTGAAACCTGTTGTTGCTTCTGTTGCTCAGTTTCTTGCTCTTTTGCCTTCATGCAGCTTACTGCGCCTGGATTACTTTAGATTAGATACTGATGTTTTCTGGCTATCCATCGACGATGTCTATGACACATGCAGCCTAGTCTTTCAGAGTTTCGGACAGGCTTTGCTTGGAGCTTGGATCACCGAGGCCAATGCTTTGGTGCCTCAATGACCACCGCCTCATTGTGGATGCAAGACCTGCCACAAGATGACAGGCTGGAACGCGGAACAGGTCCTGTTCGGCAATGTGTTCATAACATGGGACTGAAGATGATGAAGCTCGGGAACAGGCGGCTGGGTGCATGGCTTCGAACTTCAGGCTATAAGTTTCTTTATGCAAGAAAATGTCGTTTTTGAATTACGCCAAGTACAGGGTGCCGTGCATCTTGGAGAAAGCAGAAGAAAGCTTCATATCGATGCTCCCGGAGCTGAAGGCTTGGATGGAGCAAGGGAGGCTTCAGTGGTACTTATTGCTTGTCACAAGATGATGGCAGCAGGAGGCTGGAAACCCAAATAGGAGGTGTGCTTAGCTCAGTGGACCCCTTCAGATTGCAAGACCTCTGACATGCTGAGGAGCTTAAGCATTTGAGAAAGAATTTGGACTTTCAAGCTGCCCTGGAAGCATCGAACGGCTGGCAGCCAAGGCTTCCCCCAGTTCCAGTAACCAGCCGGAGCTGCTTCAGGTGCTCAGTGTTGGTTGTCTGCGGGTAGCCTGAACCAATCTCGGAGCAAACACGCAAGCGTTCATGGATATGTCTTAGTCGACGCAGGTACAGCCCCGTTGCTCCTCTATGACTTGAAATGTCAAAGTCCAACGTAGTAGGCAAGCAGCATCCAATGTGAGCATCCATTGTACTGAGGTGCTGGCCAAAGTCCACCATCTCGTCAAGAAGCTCGTAGACGAGCACAAAGTTCTTCCTGCGCTCTCTGTGCCATGCCATGCTGTGTTTAATCGCGGTTGACAGGCTTCCCGCATCTTGCAGCACCCCCGGAGTGAAGGGGGGTCCTTATGCTCTCTTCGTTGAGCATCCCACAGAAATCTTTAAAGACCTGACAAAAATGAAAAGGTGCTGCAGTCTTGGAGCTGCTTCCAAACACATCTATGGACGGAGACCTTGGCCATCTTGGTGAGGAGCTCCACCACCGCTGCAGGAGAGATGTTGTGACATGTAGTTGCTACGAAGTACCTTGCTTCCAGGTCGGGATGGGGAGCAAAACTAATGTGGTGAAAGCTGCCACGGAAAAAAGTCTTCAGGGTTACAATCCGTTCTTCTTGATGAAGACATACGTGACCTCATGCATTGCGAGACAGAAAACATAGGGTCCGATTCAGCTTTGACTCGGGATGTGCTCAGCAACAGGCCCCATCCAAATTGAAGATTGGGGGCGCGTCACCGTGCCAGAATTTGACCTGTTCCATGTTCGACTCACGTGTTAGGCGCGCTGCTCCGCTCACATCCGTCTGCAGTGAAGCACTTGAAGGACAACTGTTAATCACAAATGCGAGTCAGCCTTTCTGAAGAAAATCTCCGCAGTGCCCTTCACGACATCGCCACGGAAGTCGCGCGTGATGATGGTGTCGCCGCGGAGGGACAGAATGTAAAACCTGCATGGTGCTAAGCTGGTCTGCCCGTTCGCAGAAGAGTCCTGAAGCAATATGAAGCAGCACCCACGATGATCTATGCCGAGGCGTGGGCTGCGAGATCATCGATAGCCCTCTGTGCAAACGCACGAGGTGATGATGCTTCGCGGGCCAGAAGAAGAAGCAAACTCTGCGACTGCAAATGCTGAATAATGCTGAAATGTTGTGGTGTGTTGAATGGCCCAAAGCATTCGCATCATGAGGCAATCGCGGATGAAAACTGGCGGATGCCAGAGGTGTGTCAGGGTGGGCTGTTTAAGTTTGGTGCTTGCTTTGGGGTTGAGTACGCGCACTCTCAATATCTTCAATCTTTGAAGCCCCCTTCCAAGATCAACAAGGTAGCCATGCAAGCTCAGTGTCGGGTCATGTCACCTAGTGTTGCAGCATGTTTCAGCGAGAGCCAGAGGAGGCGTTTGCGCGATCACGGATGGAATGTCAATGCGGCAACCGCCCAGTTGCAAATCCCCCTGCTGCTAGTTAAGGGATGGTTTGTGCGGCAGCGCTCTCTCAGCACCACGTCGCTACCAGCTCCGACGAGCGTCCTTGCACAAGATTTCAACTCTCATACTGAAGCCCTGTCACCCTCCTAGGCACAGACTCTCATCTTGCGCCGTCCTGCGCTTCCAGAAGTCTGCGGCCTTGCACAAGGTACAGAGTGCAGATTGTTGGTAGGAGTGAACTTGCAAGATTTCATGTCTGGCCTCATGCACGCGGACCTCCACTAGTAGATGAAAGGCACCAGCGCCTTCCTTTCCTGCAAATGCTGGGATTGAAGGCTGCATAGCACACTCAGGCACAATTCTTCAGCACCGCGTCCAGGGATTTGAAGCTAGCTGCTTTCATTGGGTTAGATCACGGAGCCTTGGGGTACTGGTCCTTGAACTTCTGCAAGTACCTGCAAGAGATTTCCAACACTCTCTGTTCTGCGCTCTCCACAGTCGCGAAGTGCTAGCGCCAGGAAGACTCAGCATTTCCCAGAATTCAAGCCGCGTGCCAGTGATGATGCGCTATGGCCTCTGAATGTTGAAGCATCATCAAAGCATCAGACCACGCTTCTGCCAATCCGGACTTAGTGCAGCTGGGGATCCCTGGGCCCGATGTTGGCAGCCTCGGCCGTCGTGCAATGCTGTTGCGCTACCTATGCGCAAACAATTTGATGGCAAAGGCCTTCAGCAAATGCTGTGCCTGCGCTTGCAGAGACACGTCTGCATACGCGCTGGGGTCCAGGCGGTGCATAACGCAAAAGTCAAGCCCGGCAGTGCGCAATCCATTGCCTCCATTATCAGCAAACATGGATTCTGCTGGATATGGAGATGGATGAGATGGCATGCTTCTACTGGATTGGGAGGATGGCATCCCAAGCTCTGGGCGCCGAGCTGCGGCATAGCCAATCCATTCGATGATCTCTCCGAAGAAATTTGCACCTCCACACCCCGCCGCAATGCCAACAGCTTCTGATGGAAGTTGAAGGTCTGCAAGAAGTGTAGACCCTCTTATCATGCCCTTCCTGACTGCAGGCTCAAACAATCCTGTGCCTGACACGTAGTGGAACATTCCGCCGTGAGGCACCTTGTACCTTGCTCTTTCGCGGGGGTCTTGCAAGAACTCAACATCTCATGCAAACATGTACTTGCGATACTGCCAGTGGCTCCCTTTCCAGCGCTGCTGCTAAGTGTAGTACCCTGTCTCGCCGGGCTTCCTGGACAAGTTAAGGTGATACTCCGGCGCATTCCGTGCTGCTAACGGAACCAAGCTGCTTTCATTCTCCAATCCAAGCATGTGGCCTCAGGTTTCGCAACCTGTGGTCTGCATCCCAGTTGATGCACCTAGGCTGTGGGCTGGGACCAGCCTGCGCCACTTCATGTAGCCAAATTACACTCATTGCAGTCTGTGGATGCTGATAATTGTGCACCTGCCAAAGCAAAGCTATGGTTCTATGTCACGATTGGTCACCTCCAAGTTGTTGAGGTGAACATATCAGCATATCTCTCTTGCGCGTTGCGGGGTGTGCACTTGTGAGCCGGGAGCACCACAATCCTGCTGCCCAAAGCGTGACGCCAGCCAGAGTCCTGACAGCATTTGCTGAACCACCAACCGGCTGTCCAGGTCCCATGTGCGATTCGCCAAGCAAGCCTAGCTTCGGCTCCTCCACGTGACCGGAATAAGCAGAAACCTGGTCCGACGCGAAGATCAAAACACGAGAGCCATTTAGGATGTGAAATCAAGAACTGCGTCCAGCCTTGTCAAACACCTACATTGAATATAGCCATTGGCCGCGCAGAACCTGAATGGCCGCAGCTCTCTACAGTGGGCTGCTACCAGAAACTTGGGAAATCTAGGTCCACAATCTTAAGCTGTTGCGCAACTTAACTCTGAATTCCTAGCGGTTCCTACAAGCGCGCACCCCGAAATCTGAGAAGTGCTATGCACAATGCTTAGCTGAGCGGTCTGAAAAAGCCCTGAGTCTGGATCTACTGTTTGAGATCTTGGCTCCATGCAGCATGGCCATCAGCATGATGGGTAGCGGAACAGGCTTGGAACCTTTCCTTGTGTGACGAACTTCACATACTGGTAGGTGCCTTCTCGGAATACCCTCAGATTTATGGATACCAAGCGGCATCCGCAGAGGGTAAACGACAGAGCGATTCACCTGCAGAACTTGCTCTGGCAAAGAGAGATGTTATCTGTGGTTGCGTAGGCAGTTCAGGCACCTGGAACAGGAAAATCTGGTCGTTCCCCCCTTTCACTCTCCGCAGGCCCACGCCCCCCTGCACAATTCCACCCCCCCCCCCGCTTCACTGCCTCACTCGGCCAACAGCCCTGCCCGTTGCCATAGCAAATCGCGTCCTGCGAACCCGGGTGCGTAGGCGGACACGCTAGCGTTTACAAAGAGCCGGTCAACTGATGAAACTTCAAATCTCACGATTGAGGCTCGGGCGTAGTGCACAACAAAGCAAAGCAGCAATGCTCTGTTGCCCCAGCCTATAGGTGGCAGGAGGTGAAGGGGTTTGCGGTTGCATATGTAGGGGGCTCCGTCTTGTATTTGCATACCGCTGCAAACTTGCCATCATTGGCAAAAGGACCTCACTGCTGGGCACCGGGCTGGCCTTGCATGCCTTGCAGGCCAACAAATTTGTCAAGCATTCTCAATTGAAGTATGCGCGGAGGCTTGTTGATCCAAGTTCATTGTCAGCAGGCCAACCGGCTGCAGGGATATGACGTCTTTTGCAAGCAAGGAGCATCCCTGCGCAAGATATCAGCATATGGGGTCTGCTCAGCCCAAGAGCTACATTCGATATGTTAGATCCATGTTGCTTCCGGCCTGGCCTCGCTCCCAGTGGCCCAGCAAATGCTCGCGGCAATGAGTGTGGGGCCTTGCAGAACATGTCATCATTCATACGCAGGACATGACTCCTCCCCAAACCGAGCCACAGACACTCCTGCAATATCCAGGCCTCAGAGTATGCCACAAGGGCACCACGAATGACTGTGCTATCGTTCTCCAATTAAAAAGCCTGCCTCACGAATCCAATGTCCATCCTTTACATATCTCCTATGACCTTTAACAAACCGCCCGTCACATGAGCCCCCATGAACTATGCTGACGCATGTCAAAACAGTGCACGAACTGTGCTAATCGCTGGGACATGTCTGAGGCAGGGTCAGTTCGCGCACCCACATCACAAGATGCCAACAGCTGGATCAAACGACCTGCGCAGCTGTCCATCCATGCTCTCTTCAGCAAGCCACCAGCATGCGGTCTCACTGAAATGCTGTGGCCCTGCCCGTCGCCTCGCTGGCTGGCAGTGCCTAAGCATATGAGACTGCAGAGCATACAAGTGTGGAGAGTCCCCATGTTTTGCATGCAGTCCCGGTTGCTGTGATATCTGCCATAGGGGGCTTCCACCTTGCCGACGGCAGCCAGGCACCCAAGCTCAACCGCAGCGTGCCGGAAACAGACAGCAAGGCCGTAAGGCCGATTAAACACTGCAAGACAGATCTCTTCAGACAAATTGTGCTTACTTCAGCAACCGCGGTTGCTTTACCAAGATTGTCAGGCGTCACTTGCAGCTGCGCGACATTTTCAGGAGGGAAAATAGGAGTTTGCTGCAGCTTGTTCGAAGAATGGTAGCCGCTCTCAGGACAACAACAGCTGTTGGTCAGCCTCGTGCGTCATTACTTTGCCAATCAGATGCCAGGCGACTGAAAAATGTGGTGAAATCGTACCAGAGCGGAGCTGGAGAGAAGAGCCTCTTTGGCTACTTTCTCGGCACTGAAGTTGTGCTGCAGATGGTATCTGCCATGGCTAAGTCCACACCAGGCAGTAGGGCCCAGCAGACGCCTGGTTCAGTCCAAGAGTCCTCAACCTCAACAGCCCTGTTTTCTATACGTGTTTATGCTGCTGCTATCGGGGGCTGGTTATGCAACTTAAAGCACAACTTGCTGCACGTGCCTGCCCGCGCTCAGGCTGCCATGCAAAATTAGTAAATAGAACTGAAGCCAGGAAGGCAAGAGTCAGAAATTTTCATGTGCATTTTGGCTAGAAATCGCCATGCTGCTGGATTCGTACACAAAGTGTATCTACTCATCTTGTGCCATCGCTGGACTGGAGGGAGCTACTTTTGTCGTCTTTCATTTTGCCAGCAGGTTGGGCCCTCTTGTGAGGACACGGCAGGGGCTTGTTGGCCTAACGAAGCTGGAGACATAATGTATAAAAAGAATGGTCTGTTAGGATGTTGTGATATAGACTTCCCCTGCCACCCGCTGGCTACCTTCCGCACCTTTGCTGTGCAAGGTGTTTTGGAGCACGCGTGCTGCGGCGTACTTGCTAACTGAAAGATTGGACGATGAAACGCCTGGGCTACCGAGCCACCTTTGGAGCTCCGGATACGGAGCCCAGGGGCTCAGCTCAGATGGTGGAGGTGCCTTGCGCAGACGATGAGGCCGGCCTTCCGAACATGCCTCAGACATAGAAAAAATTCAACCCAAGTCCTGTGAACATCGGTTTAGCTCTGAGCCAAGCCGCCCGTTCGCAGCCAGTCGCTGGCCACTGACCAGCGGTTTCGGCTAGAGAACAGCTTGCCTTAGACTTGCCCACTTCTGCAACCCTGAATTGATGCAACACTTTACATGTTACAAAGACTGCTAATTTATCACTGGAGACATCTACGTGGAGCAAGTAAGAAACTTCAACCAACAACCCTTCACGTCCAGCCCATCGCTTCTAGCACCAGGCACTGAAGTAGGTGGACCGCCAAATCGCAAATCCAGCAGGGCCCATGACTCTCAGCTGGTCCTGGCCAGGCTATTATAAGAGGGTATATATTGGGCTTATGTAAGTGTTAGATAGAAATACTGGATCAGAAAATGAAGCTACGTATCCTATCATGACACCTAGCCTGAAACACTTTTAGATATCGCAAGGCTTGTGGCTTCCCGGTCCGTGTCTCCGTACAGCGACCTCCACCACATGTGGTCGGTGACCGAGGAACGACCCAGCCTGGGAGCACGGGATACAGACAGGCACAGCATGGCACAGAGGAGCCACGACAAGAACGACTTGACATGAATTAACCCCTCTTGACTTCTGGCATATACCTACGAGAACTTGGGTGCTGAGCTTGATGAAGGCATTGGGATCGATCTCTGCAGCGCCCTGGGAGTCGCCGATGTAGGCCATGGTACCCTGGTGGCCTTTTTGCAAGTGGAGTGTTACAGTGCCTCTGCAGATCCGAATGAAGTTACACACGACAGGCGACGCATTACCATTATAATCCTGATATAACCCCAATAGACTATAGTAAAATAGTAGTTTCCATGTTCTCTTCCATTATCTCAATATTACCCCAATATACTACTATAGTAGTTTCCATTGTATTTTCCATTATTCCTACATAACCCCTGGCATTCAAAGTTGCAGCACATTCAATGAGGGCGCAGCAGTACTTGAAGCCAGGCGCCTCCTTAGCCAAGGATTGCGTGCACAGCTGGCCAGCAGCCCGCAACAGAGAACTGGACTTACCGCTGCGTTTTACAGGTAAGCTTTGCAGGAAATGTGCCCTGCTGCCATCCCTAACTTCCTACATGAAACTCAACGCTGGTCTGTCATGCCTTGTGGGACCAGTTTGAAAGGCAAAGTTCTAACTTCAGCTACAGTATTCACCCAGCATGAAACAAAGCCTTAAATGAGCCGCGGCACCGGATCGGCAATAAGATGCTCCTTGCCCAAGCGGAACATTCGCCCCAAATACTTTCCTGACAGCAGGGCTTAGGAGCGGATTCATGCCTCCACGCTGTTGGCAGGAGACAGGCCTTGCTGATATGCCACCTGGCAGCAAGGGCAGCATTCATCACAGTCACCGGTTACCCTTTCCGTTCCTCATGGCACCATCTCACAAGGGTCTTGCTGAGGCAATTGTGGTTGTCAGTTGCTCAAACTTCTTTGCCCCTACTGCAATCCAGGGAGGCCTGTGCGGTTGGCGGTTTTCCACTCACGGCGCAATCACCGATGGCGAACACCTTCGTCAAAGTCCAGGGTTGTAGCGTGAGGCCTTTCGTGTTCCTGAGGCCCACAGCATATTGGCTTGCTAAAATCCTTTGGCCTTTTTATGAACCTTGTATTCGGTGCCTCGCCAGGCTTGGTGCCTTTGACCCGCAGGCATTCGTCCACCAACAGCCTGGAAGCAGCCCAAGTTCTCGATTCAGCGAGGTTGACGCACTGACACTGACGGAATTTTAGTACTCACCTTACCATTTCCGGAAGGAAGCTGAACTGAGGAGACTCGGATGCATCATCTAGAATGACTGCTAGCAGAAGCTTTGGCACTCGCGAGTCATGTGAAGGCCTGTTGGGTTGCCTTCGGCTCCCAACCCTGGCGTTTAGGATGCTACACCGCTGCTGACTACTGTATCAGCCGCCAAGCAACCCGCGCCGATCTGTCTGCCCGTTCTCCTGCGCTGAAAACTTGGCAATTCTTTGGACAAAGCAAGGTTGGAGCTGGAACATGACGCTAACAGGCCACATCCCACTGTATGTTGCTGAACGCAATTCATGACCTTATTTGAGGAGAGGGTAGGGAAGGCGACCTGCCCGACTTTTGCCTCTATGAACCAACCCAATCCTGCAAGCCGAATTTGTCAACATGAAAAGATACCAGTCCTTGCCAATCTTCTCGCACATGGAGCGGGTGAAGGGCCTCTCATCACGCAAAGAACACGTCGGCTTCTGGGGGCTGGGTGGTGCTGCACGACAAGATCCCACAGCATCTTCAGGAGGCCTCATGCCCACACCAGCCACCCAAACTAGGATGCCGTAGTCCATGTCGATAACGCCCTCCTTCGCAGAAGCGAACCGTTCCCTCGCTTGCGCGATCTTGCCACGAATGTTTCCGAACAGAAACACAACGCAAATCACGCGGTTTACGCTCTTTTCATGGCTTCCCTGGCAAGAAGTAGAGTTTCACTGACAGACTTTCACTCAGGGCCGGTGTAATGTAAAGCTGTACAGAATAGCAGATTATGTCTCGCGAGTTGCTAGCCAAAAATGGCAGCCAAATGCAGCCAGTCTGATGAGACGTGCTGCCACTGCGTGCCTTGGTCTTCAAGTGGACCTTCTTCTCCTCAACCTCCTTCACCATTGCATTCCTCAGTATCTCGCATCGCAAGCTATCTTGTTGCATCACTTGAGGCAGATTCTGCAGAACATCTGCGCATGAACCAAGACCATAGCACCCCGGCTGCCTCCTAGTTGTATCCTCCCTTGGATCCCCAACCCAGGGTCCAAACAAGCTGGTCAACAAAGGAGGCTCATAGAAACCAAGGCTCAGCTTGATGTCCACGCCCTGGCGCAATGAAGTTCATTGGAATATCATGCGCAACAGAATACTACAGTATCATTTGCCTTCAACTGAAGGGAGGGCCGTTGACAAAGCACAAACTGCTCCAAAGAACTCCAGAAACTAAGGCCTGGCTGGCAAGGTGATCCTGCACATAGTTGCCTTGGGCATCTTGACCAGACTTGACTGTACGTCTTGTGCTGTCTACATCTTTCGCAGCATGCTCTGTTTCATGCACATCTCCTAAGCGGTAGATGACGCTGGCAGGACGAATCTGTTCTCCAAATTACAACACTGACCATCTGGCTACTGAGCAAAACCATGTCATGTGCCCGCATCAACGTTTCTGCGCTGTCTGATCTGGAGGGTCTAGATCGTACACTTGTTCCAGAGGGTCTGTATTGTGATTTGTTTCGATTTGCTTTGAGAGCATGATGACAATGCAAAGAACGATTATGTGGATGGACCCTCCCAGCAATAAAAACAAGGGGGTCATGCTGCATGAAACGCATGTTTTAGTCTGAACGGGTATGGAACAGGCACGGATCGTAGTGTGGAACGAATCCCTAATTCCAAAAAAGACTTTGGCACCACCTTCACTGACGTCATCTATGACAAACGTAAACATTGCAGTGCTGCTCACGAGCACAAGCAGATGAAGTATTGGAATTCCATAAGGTAATGTAGACCCATGACTAATACCCCCCCCCTCCTTTTAAGGAGCTTAATCTTAGGATGTCTACTATAATCCCCATTAAGGGGAAGTGGCTTATTGATTAGGGGCCTACATGAATGTAGGGCATCTTGTAAAACCTATTGAAGGTCAATAGAGAGATGGTGGGGAGCTAATAGAACCTATTCATAATCCATCGGGCCATGTTGAGTTGCAAACCTCTTGGAATCCCACAGGACTGTTTCGGGGATCTTGTAAAACCTAAGGCGAAGAGCAGCAATGGTGATAAAGCATGACAAAGCCATATTGGTTAAAAAAGAACGCATGATGACCAAATGTTACAAGTAGGTGAGGCTTGTTAGCACAGCATGGTCTTCTTCGTAATTACAATCTGGAGCCGAGGGGTCTGGAACGAAAACTCGGGCACTTGTTTCAGATTGCTGGATCGGGGTCTGGATGGGGATGTGTGGTTGGGTTCCCTTTGTTCCGGACACATATTCATATTCAGCGGTAGCCATCTCACTACATTCACCATACCATCGGAGCATGATGAATCCCAGCAAGGTGCCAACAGACTTGTGGAACATTGTGAGAAGGCCGGGAAGTGCCTCCACAAGCGTGACCTGCCCGGCGTTCTCAGGGAGCTTTGCTGCTCACTTAGCATCCAGTATGCTGCATACATGCTGGCCTGAAAATGGTCCGCAATCTTGGGATATCTGCCTGTCCATCCATCACCGTCGCTGCGCGAGACAACTTGAGACACTCGGAGGCTCGCAAACTGCAGTAACATGGCCTAGATGCAACGGTCTCAGTTTGGGCTATGTAGATTCCAAGCTCGCATGCTGGCTATCAACACTCTGAACCATGCGGACTGACAAATAATCAATTACCACCCACATAATTCAGATCGAGTGGCGCTTCAAGTCCTGCTTGATGAAGTCAGACAGCTCACCACAAAATTCAACACCTGCCGCAGCCAATCATACTGACGAGAAACAGAAACTGCTTGCCGTGCCGCTGTTGGAGAGAACCCGCCTGTGGGCCCTCCACCAACGACGACGAAGTTCAAGAGTCGCTTTACCTTGTCAAATTGCGCAGGACGAGACTAATCGTGCAGATAGGCCACCTCAAACAATCCAATTGCCAGGCAGACTGACATATCCCAGAGGCCTCGCATCCTGTGGGTTGAAGCTGGATCTGAGCTTCTTGCAGCGTCCATGTCCCCCGAAGCGTTCGCAACTTCCGCCTTCTCAATAATGTCCAGCATCTCCTAGCCGCTGGGCCCTCTGGCTGACAGCAATCCAGGCAATCCAGATTAACACACGGAGAAGTCAAAGGTGGGCGCGAGCCCGGCATGCAACGTTCTGTTTAATGACCCGAATGAGAACTTTTGCAGAAGTCCCCGTCCTTTCGCAGCTGCCGTCCGTGCTCGATCTCCTTCAGAAACCTTGAAGGATTCACAGTGCAACAGAACAGCATGCGCAAACGCACTGAGTTGCCTCCTGTTCGTAGAGAAGACCAGTTGCACAAACTAACTCTTGTCACGTGATGGTCTCTTGAACCCAACTGCCTGCCAAACTTGTCGACGCCGGGAATGCCAAACGTGTTGGGCTGGGCACCAACCTCAATGATTTTCAGGCGACAATCACCCGAACTGCGATTGGTCTCATGATATCCCCTTTGCAGGCTTCACATCGCAAAGCCTCGCAACCATGCGAGACCCTATTGTGATTTAAAACATCACAAGCGGTATGCTGCACGTGCTGCACCCAGACTGCAAGAATGGGAGAAAGTTGCCGGAGTTCCTGGAAAGTGTCGCCTGCTTCCTACAAGTAGCTGTCCGCTTGTTCACGCTGCTCAACTGGGCCCCTTACTGCGACCACCAGGTGGTCATAGTCCAAGCTGAGGCCACTTTCGCAGTGAACCTCCAAGCAAGAATGAAGGGACTCTCTTGTGGGAATGGTGGAGTGACGGCAGGATTCCCACCTTAGGACGGCCACGCAACAGGCAAGGTACAATGAATACCCGGGTAAGCTCAAGAAGATGGGTACACAAGCTATGCGGTATTCAGCGGACAGCATGAACAAAGCTGACAAGCGTTGTAGGTCCAGCCTTTTTGGCCTCCAGGTCCACGTCCTCAGGAAGTGGCCAGTATGAAGCTCAGGCTGGAAGTGCTACTACGTTTCACAGCCAGCTGTGTGCGGATGCTGCAGTCCTTGCAATGCACTCGCAAGAAGTCGCAGTTGGGAACATTGTCGCGGATTGGCTCAATGATCGCACCTAGCTGGGAGATGCTGGTAGTGCGTACGAGGCAAAGCTTCATGCAGGACTTGGATTCATACGGCGAACCCAACAATGTGTTTACCGCGTCCCACTTCAAGCCCGGCCTGGTGAGACGACGCCCGTCGTGCTCCCCACTAGCAGGGGTGTGTAGAAAAAGAAAGGTCTTGGGGAGACCACGGTCACCTGTCGACGGCTCAGCTCTGATCTCTGCCCTAACCTTTCACAGCGAACCCTCTGCAACACACTGTTCCATGCAAATCACGGCAGCACCGATCTTGCCATCATGATTTGTGCAAACTTCACGGTGACCCAAAAGATCACATACTGGTGATACCATCAGACACCAAAAGGCCGATCCATGGGGCGCTAGAGTTCCTGCAATGCAAGGCCAGCCAAGTAGCGTCGAACTGTGATGGGTCGAGCTTCCTGACGAACGAGAGGGCGCCCCAGCCGGAGCCCAAAACTACCACTTTCCTTGGCAGGACTTTGCACTTGCTTCAGCCTTGCTAGTCCTCTTGCGCCGAGATTAGCTTCCTAGTCTCTGAGTCTTCGTTTTTTTGCATTTGTAACGCAGGCGAAGCCAGCACCATCCCCTGTCACTGTTGCATAGCCCTTGGTCGCGGCTTGTGATTACATGCCTTTGTTGCGATTGCTTTGCATGCGCTAGGTCACAAGAAGGGGCTTATCGGAAGCGGGGCAATTCAGAAGCCCATCTCGTGGCGCCGTAGTGACATGGTCCTTTCAGAGAAGTCGACCATGGACAAATTGCTGGACAAGCTTCCGTCGCTCTTGTTCCTTCTTGGCGAAATGATAAAAGACGCGCTCCACCTCATACCTGGAAATAATGTGTTCAGAGCATGGTAAGCTTAGGATGCAAACTGCACATTCGAACCCTGTACCAAAAGGCCCAGGGTGCTTGACGTCATCCAGGTCATCGTTGATCCACATGTGGCCAAGCTTGACCTCCAAAAGCCACTGTTTTATTGATACCAAGCAAACCAACAAGCCAAGGCGCTGCGGGACCATGGATGCAAGCCTTTCCCCTAACCCTTGATTGTGAGTGCCTTTGATAGCCTGAATTCCTTGGGTCCCTTTCCCCCCTCCGTCTCCGTGCACCAAGTGTTGAAGTGTTTGAGGCAAACTAGCTAAATCCATGGTTTATGTTCGCGAGTTGGAGGTACAATGCTCCCATCCTCCGTTCTTAGGCAATGAGATTTCTAAGGTTCACACGCCGCCAACGGCTGTGACGCCAAACGCGCCCAGCTTCACGGTCCTGCGTGACAGATTCTGTAACGGGCCAGCAGTGGCTCTACTATTGCTGCATGGTGAGCGTGGGGACCGTTGATGCCGACGTAGCCGTGCCTCCGAGCAACTCGACGGAACATGGTGCGGAGCTTCTACCCAACTTTTGGTTCCTACTGCTTGTTCCGTCCCTATCCTTGAACCAAAGGTTCTGCAGCAGACAGAGATTCCGAACGGCATTTCTTGCAACAGCCCATCATCCTCTGCCATCTTGTGCTCAAGAACGGTCTTCTCTGGTGAGGCCCATGCGCCGCTGGACAAGACCACTGCTGCCAGAATGAAGTTGACAATCAGGGCCTTAGCACTTCGAGGGAGCGGGGACACAAAGCCAGACGGCGTGTTGCCATGCAATTAAATCAGGCTGGCAAGCTGAAGGCGCAAAGGCTAAAGATCGCTGCCGTTAGAGAGCCGTGGACTGTCTGCGTCTACGTGTTGTAGGCTAAGCAAACTTGAGCTTGACTAGCTTCAGGAATGGGCAGCGCAAAGCCAGTAGATCAACTTCTCCTCTGCGGGACTTGAATCAGGTAATGTGTCAAATCTGCTTGACTGACGGCATGCCGGATGTCATATGGGGGTGGAGGGCGGGGCCTAGCAAAATCTAAAGAGCTTCTTGACTCTTGACTAATTTTGCGGTCCGTCCTGCCCCCCCCCCAGTCATGTCAGGGTGCAGTGCTTCGAAAGGCTATCTGATCTGTGGCTATCCCTCGTAGTCAGCCAGCATTGAAAACAAAGGCCTCGAAGCTGCCCTCGCGCCAGGAGAAGGAATCAAGGGGCTCCATGGCCAGAGGCTTGCCAACCTCTTGCAAGCGTGTTTTGCTGACTTGCGATATATGCGATTTCGTGCTCTCCAGGCTAGATCTGCATCTGAAGCAAGCTGTTTGGTACGTCAGTTAGAGCAGCGAAGCATATACTGCATGCAGCATTCCAGGTACCCATCCACACCAGGCGTCAGGTGCTGATTTAAACTCAGTCGGCAGTTCTCTTCCGTCCTCGCTCATGCAATTTTGGAATTGAATTGCCTTCTTTGGAGAGAAAGGCCAAACCCATTTTTGCAGGTAGTTCGTTTGAGAGCTTTCATTTTCGTTCAATGCCAGGTCCTGAGATAAGGCAACTTGGCAACGCTATGCGCCCATTCCCTGATATGTTGCTTCCACAAGAAGCCCGCGGGTGTCCAAAACGCTGCCTTTTTGCCGCGCGCTGCAGCTGTCGCCAACTCTTGCCACACTCATCCAAGCCTCTCGGAAACCTGCACTGACAATTCATGGACTGCGGCTCTGATGCAGTAACTATCAGCTCCTCTCGCCTCAGTGCGTATGCATCCCTAATCCTGCCTGGCGAACTGTGTCCAGGTAGGCTCCGGACCAGTTTTCCACTGTCTCTCGATACCTTCCGGACATGCTGCTTGAGGTTGTTGCAGTCTCACGTCGCAGCAAGATGTCGCAAGGGTTTGAGTTCCATGAAGCAGTTTTAAAGGCCGCATGCATCAGGGGCACTTGTCCTCTGTGTCCGGATTGAACCTCTGCGCCGCTTTCTGCATTCTGCACTTACTTGTACGCGCCCAAGCAGTTGCGACTAGCTGTTGCTGGCAGAAATGCACGAGGTCGCCAAGCTAGGCTGCGCACGCCCCAAAGCAGGCAAAGCCTCGGCGGGTTTGCGATTTCTTCTGAGGAAATGCCAACGTGGCAGGCATGTCAGTGTGTCGCATGATTTCTTGCTAGTTTCTGTCTGTTCCCTCCTGAGAGACAATCGTTGTACCCTACATTACACAAAGGGAGACAAAGGGAGGGAGAGAGAGCGAGATTGAGAGATTCAGCGTTTGACAAAGCTCTTTGAAGAGATGCTACCAGTTGGCTGACGTCTTTCAGGCAGCTTGAAAAGACTTTGCCAGTGGGGACGGGAGTTGCAAGAAGGGCAAATGAGTCCAACAACGAGGGGGAAGCCATGGAAGAGGCCCAGAAACACCAAAGTGCACTGCAAACGACGTCAGCAGTATGAGTGCTAAAGGCAGCTTGAGGGTATTTTTTTGGCCAGCAAAGCACTGTCACGCAGCCCGGCATATGAATTCAGTGCCAAGTTAGCTTTGAAGCTCATGTTGCATGAGGACGCTCTAGACATCACTCAATCTGCTGAATCCTGCCATCAGGAAGCCTGTGAGCGTTTCGGCAGCAGTCTTGGTCATGTTGCTTGCAGACTGGACCTGTGTTCACACAAAGCTGCTTAGGAAGACTTTGAGGTGTCATGGCAGATTCAAGCAGTCCAGCAATGTGGGATGGCACCGCTCTCTGGATAAGCGCACCTGCCCCCTCACTTGACACACTAGCCACGATCGCACTACACAGCTGCTGAGACATTGAACCCTGTCAAGCCTGGATGAAGCTTGACGGGAAGTCGGCAAACACGTCTTTGAAGTGGTCATGTGCCAGATTCTGTGCCTGGCATATTCTAACATCTCTGGTCCGCGCTCCTGTTTCAATCGCAGGACGAAACCCCACTCAACGGCAAGGACTGAATAGTTGAAGTATTTCGAGACTGGACCGTTTTTTGCTGGCCTGGAACTTCGAGGCTTCTGGCAATCGCAGCTTTTCCTGCCATGCTGAAGTCTGGTCGTGCCGCTGTATGCTTTGCGCTTGGACTGTAAGATGGGTCCTTGCAAAGTTGCCAACTCATGTCAAGCGTGTTCGTGCAAATAGCTTGCAAGGAGTCAAAGGGAGGGCGAGAGAGATGCTCAAGAGTTGAGAGGCAGTGACGCCTCGTATAGGCGAGCATGTCTGTTTGAGAGGTGGGATCAGCTGACCGCACATACCCGGGTCTTCCTCCCAGCGATCTCTGAGGGAGCTTTGGTCCCCTCCATAGTAGATCTCATAGGCGAATGCATACCTGGCCAGCTCCGACAGTGTGCCACAATTGCCACATCAATCTGACAGGAGCACGGGGTCTGCAGCTTATCGTAGACCCAGTCCAAGCAGGTACCAGGGCATGAATAGCCAACCTGCCGCATAAACTCACGAGCTGTTAGAGGCCACAGGCAAATCTATCTTTTTGATCTGCAAGCCTCCGGGGATTCACGGTGATTCAACAGTTTTTGGCTTGTTTTCATACAGGTTCGGGTGGAAAGTGGGTCCTGCCTCACGTCCAGCAGCGCCAAAAGGGCATTGGCAGTGCGCCTGCCAAGAGCAAAGAACCCGGTCTACCTTGAAACCGCATTCTAGGGGCTTGCAAGCAGACGTAATTAGATTGATGGATAGGTCCCAACTTCAACTTAAGACACCTTGGCTTGGGTTGCTGGTTACTCAATGACAGATGCGGGCTCCACGATAGTGCAGCGAAAAGCTGCGGGATGCATGCCTGGTCCACCTGCTTCAGGATCCTCAATGGAGACAGCTATGGAGGATCGGCGCCATGTTAAGTTGTCCAGCAAGTGGCTTCCAGGACGGAGTCATTGAGCCGCTGGCTCCATCATGGAGCCTTGGTTGCGGTTCGCCAAGTGCTCCATATCGAACGCCCAGGGCATGTACATTCCTGACGGGGCAGCACTGCTGGTCACAATCTCGGAGCATCTTTGCAAGCGTCATGCAAGGGGATGCACGCACATCCAGGCAAGCTCTTCATCCTTGCTCAGAAAACCGGATCACATCATGACTAATGGTTCCTGAGAATCTCTTGCATGCATAGACGTTGTAGGAACACAGTCTATGCTTCTTGTTTTCGAGGCACATTCAAGATCAGTTTGAGTTTGTGAGCAAAACAATCGACATGGCATTGAACAAGCATGCGAGATTCGGCTGTTGAATGGAGCAGCCCGCCTAAAGTTCCACTGTGAATGGTCAGGAAAGTCCTCAGAAGCACTTGGCCATCACTGACTGCAGGAGGTGCCTTCTGCACCAGGGCTCGCAAAGTAGCTGCACTAGCTGGCAGCATCCCTACTAGTAGCAGAGCGACCCAAACTTAGATATGGAAAGCTTGCCACACGAGTCTGGCTGCAAGGACACAATCAGTACACCCCTCTGATGAAACAATCCTCTCTTGTGCTTGAGGTAATCATCTCAAGGGGTTTCTGAGAGCACGGCGTGGGATGAAATTCTGAGACCAGCCTGAGCAATCAATCTTTGTGTGCGTTGCAAGCCGTTAGTAAGACGTCCGTCCATTTTCTCGCACCAAGCAATCTTGTGAGCTCCGGACTCCTTCAGGAGCTGCGTCTCGGGTTCGCTGAAAGGCCTGTCTCTGCAATGCGCTGTCACAACTGGTCATAAGCGGCCCATGACACTTTGAACCCAGGTCAACCACCCTTCTTCGTATGGCCAAGCCCCCAAGCTTGAGCGCCCATGCAGTGCTGTCAATGTAAGTCTTGGTTGACGCATTTTGCTGTCAAGCATTTGTTGCCAAGCACAGCACAACCACATTAGTACTTAAAATGCGTTTTGAACTGGATTTGTCCACGCCTTCCAGCCAGGTGCACTTGCAAGCTGAGGTTCGGGCAATCGGCCAGGATTGGTATCTTCGCCAAAGGACGCATCTCCCTGCTGCAGCATTTGCGACGAAAAACATGCAGCACAGCAACATCCCTTGAAACCCGGCGCTGCTCAGCGATATATGCGCTCTTCAAAGCTTAAAAGCTTTCGAAGACTTCACATCCACACGTGGCATGTATAGTTGTGAGTTCATGCCGCTTGCGATGAGGCGCGAAGGAAATATGCACCTAAGCGTAGCATTTATTTTCTGAAGTTAAGTTTGACCTCACTCTTCCACCGCCTGCCAGTGCTCATCCCAGTTCCGGTTCAGGTCGACTCCGCCGGGACCCACGCGGAGGCACCAATCCCCCTGTGGGCAGCAATAGCAGTAACATGTGTTCCAAGCTTCGGGAACCTACCACTGTATGCATGAGCTGGCATAAAATGTCTTCTTGCGGGCAGAATGCGCTCTGCAGGATAACCATGATTTTACCGCCAAGCAATGCCAAGCTTTGAGATTCTGAGTCGCAGTTTGCGACAATACATTGACATACAGCAACGTATGGTGCAATGCTAATCAAGCAACGGAGGAGCCTTCCTGTATTCAGAGTCATGAGTCACTCGGAAAATCACAGCCGCTAGCAATCCTCCTGCAAGTTGGAACAAGCAGAATGTTAGGCAATAGGTCAGCAGCTGAAGGTTGTTGAAGCTCGCACTTTCAGCAGTTGCGATGCTCCATGCCACAGCTGGGTTCAGGACGCCACCTGAAATTGATTTCGCGGCGAAGCCGCCAAGTAAAACGCACGCACCGATTGCGAAGCCAAACGGGAAATTCTGCAACGAGACGGCATCAAGTGGCTTGACGGTTGTCAGACTGAGAACCACGAATGCAATCAAAGCAGTGAATGCTGTTTCTACTACAAATACTGCAATCCAGCTGTAAGGCAGCCTAGGCTGCAAACTGATCTCTGTCACGCCTAGAAGGCTCTCCTGCTGATAGGCTGCGGTGATGACTCCTGCTACAGACCCAGCCAGAAGCTGGACGGCAGCATAGGCCACACCACGGCCAGGAGGGCATTTTCCACGGCCGCTGAAGACCACGGCCGCTGTGACTGCTGGGTTCAAGTGGCCACCGCTAACATCGTGCACAGCATAGATCAGACTGGCAAGGGCAGCAAATGCGGCCCAAGGCGTTGAGATTGAGCGCAGCACCAAGTTGAGGCCAACTGTGATGCAAAGGAGGAAGGTGCCAAGAAACTCGCAAAGCAGCTTTGCAAGCAAGGAGCCGCCCATGCCCACATCTCCTCGGGGCTCCTCACCGTTGCGAAGCTCCCCTGCCCTCACAGCAACGAAAATGGCGGCAGCAAGGGATGAACCGAAAAGCTGCATCCCAGCAAACGCCAAGCCCCACGGACCCACCACTGCGGCCGGCTCCCTTAGTCACTTCCAGTAACATGTACGTTAGTATGTTACAATCCTGAACTGAGCACTTGTCAGGAGAACCCAGTTGTTTTTTCAGCCAAGTTGCTGAGATCCCACAATTTCAAGGCCGATCGACACCGCCGGGTTGAATATTCCACCAGAAACGCCACCCGCTGCATGGCCGCCGGCAATGACGACCAAGCCAATCGCAAGGCCAAAGTAATGATTCTGATCGCGGTCTGGGTTGTTGCTCTTGGAAGTGGACACATTTAGCACCACAAAGCATAGCATGCCTGTGTAGAGCGATTCCAAGAAGCCAGCATCCCAAAAACCAAACGGTGCATGTGGAGCTACTCCCAGTGGCTGTTGTAGAACCTCATGACATGCAATGCCAGCGATGAGGCCTGCTGAGATCTGGAGTAAAATGTACGCAATCACCTGCGGCCATGGGGTCTTTCGGGTCAAGCCGCATGCGAAAGATACAGCTGGATTGAAGTGACCACCAGAAATCGGGCCAAAGCTGTACACCAACACTGCGAGCAGGGCCCCAGTAGCAATTCCGGCAATGTGGTCCGCGGCAATGCCGCAAACAGCTATGGTAAAAACAAGAAGATAGGTTCCAACAAACTCTGCCGCATATGGTGCCAGTGACTCGGCAAAGCTGCCTTGCGGCGTTGGCTCGGTGGTAGATCCGTATGATGGTGCACTCTTCTGCAAATCCATGGGAATATGTAGGGTTCAATAACCGGATGAGAGCAATCTTGATCCACCAAGGCAACGCCAAACATTTTTTGGAAATACAACATGTCAGCGCCACGTCTTGCTGAAAGAATGTTGAATCCCTATTTGATGCAAGTAGGAAGGAAGAACAACCACACCTGTTCGACTTTGGTACGGGAGCCGGGATTGGCGTTGACAACCAGAAGGAATTCACTTTGTTGCCTTGGTAGCATGAGGTCCATCCACGCAACTACTGAAGCGAGCTTTCCGAACGTAAGTCACTCAAGTGAACATTTTGTGAGATGATCTTTCTGAATTCAAACATGTCGTGAGTCGCAAACGAACTGACTGGGCTCCTGGCAATTCAGCTCTTGCATCGCTGCTGTCGCACAAAGTCTTTGCCTGAATCTGGCTGGCGTTTGTCACATGTTGATGCACACCACGAATGCCCATCGTGTTTTCGCTCATGGCACTTTCGACCTGACCATGTCTCCATGTAAATCTCAGGAATCAACAAAATGAAGTCCAGACTCCGCAGATATCAGCTCTCTCGCATGCTCCTGGCATTCTGAAGAGCAACGTTTACAAAATTACGAATGGCTGCAAATTGTTCAGCAAAAACCACAGAACATCCCCCGCAGTGACCCACCGAAACGCCTCACGTCACATCTGCAAAGCCAATTGCGTTGAAGCAACAACGTGTGTTTGTAGCATGTCGGCACATGAAGTGAAAACCATGCTGGCTAGGTCATCATGGATGCATGCGGTCGCACGTTTTGGATGGGGTGCGACAGTGAACGTAGCTTTGGCACAAACTTTGGAAGCACGACTGGCTTCAGTGCAAGATGTTCTCTGGTATGGAAAGCAGCACCAACACACATGTCTGCAGCTGACCTGGTTAGCGTCTTCAGGGCCTCGGCTGAATCCCTTCATGCCAGTCCGAATTTATTGGCCGTCCCGCCCCCCCCCCCCTGCCCCCCTCGCGACCTAATCTTCCAGTGCTTGGCTGTCAATCGCGACCAGGCAGCTTCTGCGACAAAAACGACGCACTGCCCTTAATCTCGCTTGATGCTGACCTTGCATACGACTGACTGCTTTAGCGCCCAATCAACGCATGACAAATTCCCAACCACAGACTTGCAAACTTCTCAACTTGTGCGAGTCGAAGCCTTCCGCATCCAGGGCACGTCCCCGTCTTGTTGGTACTGGCGACCAAAAAACTTCAGGATCTCGTCTACCACAATGACGGGAAATGAGAATGTCATGACCAGGACCTCAATGGAAGCAACGCAAATACCTCACGCTGGCGCACGCACTTCTAACAGGAACCTGTAAAATCCTTTCAACAAACCAACCAGTTCTCGTCTGAGCACGGGTTCAACATGGTCAACGAAGCAAAGCTTGCTTGGGCACAGCGCGTGCACTTACACTGCCAAGGCTTTTCCTCCTGACAACTTGGGGTGAGAGGAAGCTGAAGTGCTTGACCAGACACCCAGTCGTGCCAATCCAAAGGGCATACTGCAAAGACTTTGGCCAGGAAGGGCACGTACAGAATGACCTGGATTGCCGATCATCTGAGGCTGGTCTGACCAAGCGGGAGTATGAATTTGTGCCGAGCAGCGAAATGGACCATTACAGAACCTCAAAGTAAACATGCTCGGCTGTTGGTGTCTGGCGCTTGTCAGAGCATTCTCAACGCCTCGTAAATAATCACGCAAGATAGGTGCTAGATGGTGCTAGCGTCTTTCTTTAGCCAGGCTGCCCAAGCAGGCCAGCACCAGCCAGGGATTTGTCCAGGGCGCCATCTGGAGCAAGGACCCATCCTCACTGCGGCTCTAGTGCTCGGTTGATGGCCAGGGATTGTTCAGAGAAAAATGGGAACAGCCATTGCAGGAAGTGACAGGGTGAGTCAAGATCATACAGCGAGGCACCTCCGAAAGCGCGTTGAATGCATTTAGCATCTCAATAATCACCTGAGATGATGTTCTCCGAGCTGTGGCAGTTCCGCATGCAAAAGCGCTGCGCGCAAGGATAAAACCAAATTACAGGGCTTCAGCTGGATCTCTTGATTTCAGCCAGCTGCCAGGACAGTCAGGGAAAGCGTTGACGCCTTCACTTTCCCAGTCGTGAAATAGCTGCATGGATCGCCGTGAAACCTCGCTTCTCAGCAATGGCCAGCGACTCGCTCCCGTTATCCCGCTCGGGGCTCAAAGTTTAAAACAAGCACCATTGTATGAGCCCTGCCGATGGTTGCTGCCCGATCTTTACGTTTTGCTGCGAGCGAGACGCGTTAAGCCCAAACAGGGCATTGGCAAGAAGTCCGGCCATTCAGCACAGGTGTTCCTCAATCATGTTCCAAGTCTTTCGTTGACGACACTTTTCACTGTGGAGCACCAGGTCGGCTGGAGACAACAAAACGACATTTCTTTCCCTGCCGAAGGTCCAGGTCATCAGTTCAGAGATGCTCACCAAAGTGTGACCTTCGTTTTCAGGTCGCTGCTTCCATGCAAGTTGCTAGGCATGTCAGGGCGCAAAACTGCAAAATTCGGTGGCAAGAAGCTGTCGGGACCGTCGTCAAAGCAGTACCAGTACACGAAGATCCCTACAGTTGCAATTCCGACCTCAGGTAGCTTATCCCACGATTGGGCGCTTCTCGGTAGCTCTTTGCTTGGCCACAGAGACCCACCACACGGAAGGGAGGGAGGAGGGCTCTTTGCAGCTAAGGAACGTAGATGCCGATAACCATATATCGAAAGAACACCTTAGCAAGCTGCTGCTGCAGCTGAACATTCGCATGAGACCTCACAAAGCAGTATAGAAGCTGTTTTGACTACGGCCTCCGGAGAACTAACCTTCACTCCGAGACGCCCATCCAGAAATCAAGCCGTCATCTGCACGCCTGTTCAGGGATCATGTTTAGTACTAGCTGCTGTTCAGTCATGAGGCATTACAGCCTTGTCCTGCGATCTCTCTTATGATTTCTGCCTCTAGACATGTTTTGAGAAACTATGGACGCCTTTGTGGCAGCGGTTAAGGCCTCATTTTACCTCTACTTGCAGTCTCAATAGCGGAGGCTGGCACGAGTGCATGAAACACCGTGTCCTTGGAGGTCTGTACATGACGTCAAGGTCAGGAGGGTTGAAGCCCAAAGCGGTAGCAGGAAGTCCATCGGTGACCAGGTTCACCTTCAAACGGACTGCTCAGAAGTCCGGATTTTGGCAGCAAACGACAAGTGTGTTCCACTCCCCACAGAAACCTTTAGTGCCAGGGCACCCACAGCAGCTGCACTGGTGCCAAGCCTGTCGTACAGGACAGCTTTCTCACCTTCTGCTTAAGAGCCCGAGAGCCCCAGTTGCTCAAAGAGCCAAGGGCGAAAGCTCCACCGTTCCACTGTGGCTCCACAAAAACGGTTCATCCCCCCAGGCAGGGCCCCCGCCTTCCGGAATGCCAAGCGCTGCTGTGAGGAAGATGGACACGACCTCTCCTCCGCCAATGAGCCATGGCAGAAAGCCGAATTGCTGAATGATACTTCAGATACTGTTAATACGTGACATAGAGGCTAACAGGCAATCAAGAATGGAAGACTGCCTTCTAAGCTTCAACATGTCCAGAGGCAGCGTCGAGCCCTGGTAACAATCAACGGCCTGTCCTATGTTCGAAGAGATCAGGTAGCGGATGAACGCCTGGCAGGCTTATGCAGGCCATGCAATAGACACTAAGAACTTGTTGCGACAAGGCAAGTGTGCGGGTACTAGCAAAGCACTGGCTGAGTGAAGCGACCAGCCAACTTGTGAGTTCAAATGGGCGAACATGGCGACGCGCTGTGCCAGGCTGCCCTGGAACTGTCCTTCATGTTGTTGTAAATCGATCTCCCTTCTTCCACGGCAGCCACTATAGTGGAGAAGTTGTCATCGGCGAGAACCTTAATTATGCTTTTTCTCATGCTGTCGAAGAGACGCATCTGAAATGCCTTGAATTCCGGTCACCATGCACATCTATGCTATGTATTTGTTCATCTTGGTACTTGGGCGGTCAGAGCCAGCTGTCGAAACCATGCACTGGTTCATGGGACTCCAAAGCTCAGAGGCTTGCCATGTCGGCGGCTTCTTTGGCAACCTTAGAAGACTTGTGGGAAGGTTCCTCTGTCGCTCAGGATCATCATCTGTCTTTGCAGGAAACTGCGTGATGCCAAGAGGCTTCTGTCCCAGTCATCCCCATCCTCAGATCCAGCTATGCCCCCATTATGATGTAGAAATGCCTGCAGCAGTCTTGCCTGCTCTTATACCTTTGACTGGCTTGCAAACATGACAACTTTGGCAATGTCACCAACCTATTTCCAAAACTGATACAGTCCCAGATGTTTAAAGGCTTTCAGAAAATTGCAGGAAAGATATAGGATAGCAGGTATCTGCGCATTTCGCCGCCCGGGAAGTTGAGACAAAGTTCAATCGCAGCAAATGCGCTTTGGAAGCCTTTAAAAGTCCAAAACACCGCATTTGCGTTGTAGTGTTTGTTTTAAGAAGGAGGACAAGTGCTGCAAAACGGGTGGGTTCATGGCTGGAGCACCTAGAGAGAAAAAGGCCGGCATGCAGGATGTACAAGTGTGCGAGGTCACCAGCATGTGCTGCAACTCGGTAGCTTATCTGTAGGTTAACATCCTCGATAACCTTGCCGTGCAGACCTCAAACTACCAGTGCCCAACCACGCAAACCGAGCCTTCTGTGCAACGCCCTTTCCTCAGCGAGCCCCTGTTGCCCCAAAGAAGGCTTGCCCCCACAACATGGTCTCCAGCTTTAGGGGATTAAATAAGGATAATGGAAACAAAAATGGAAGCTACTCATGGGTTAGACGGTCATAGGGTTTAGGGTTTAGAGCAGGCACTTGGTTGGCCTCGTCCGCGATAGTGCTGCATAGTGCCGTAGGCTCTATGGCTTGCCCCGTCCACAACTTGAAGCACGCCAACTTCAAAATAACAGGCAAAGGCAACCATGGGCTGCAAAAACCATTGGTTTGTGCTTCCATCCTCATCCCCCAACCCCACCCAACACATTCGCAACACATCTAGGGTTTTTTTCCGGTGATACCGGGACAAGTTTGCAGTTCACATTCAGAAATCGTAGCAGTCAACACTGGACCCCTTTCACTGCTTACGCGCACCGCAGCCTGAGGCTCGGGATGTCTAGGACTGTGCAAGCAAGCTCAGACCAAGGAGCGCGATGCCAATGTCAGCCTGCTTCAGCGCAGGGGCATCGTTGACGCCGTCGCCCGTCATGGCAGCGATCTCACCAATCTGCTTCAAGATCCTGAAGCCAACATGCCTCTTCAAATTGAATGAGGCTTGCCGGGGGTCGACCCACTGTATGGACGGCACCCTGCTACCCGCAAGTCACACCCGATTCACCCGATGTCAGGCACAAATTGTCACTGACTTGCATTTGTAGAAGCCCTAGAAAAAAGTCTTGCGGCCATGGCGCTTTACGATCCTGAGTTGATGCAGTACACAGACAGCCTAATCTGCAGCGAATGTCATCTCAGGGTCAAGTAGCACTTTTCAGGCGCTGTAGGCTATACATACATAAGATTGGATCTCCGTTTGGGGCACCTGCACAGTTCAGGGTTGGAGGCTTACAAGGCGCCTTCATCTGAAACCTAGGCCCTAGGCCAAAGAGTTTGCTGGGTTTCATCTGACCGCGTACTGTAATCTTTTAGTCGTGCGCTGCCTATCTTGCTGGCCAAGTCTCATTTGCTTATGCTTTGGTTCTGTCCTGGAGAATACAGCACCTTCAATATCCCTCTCCGTCATGATGTGCTGCAGCACCTCACAACCGCATACAGCAGCTACGGCCATGGTAAGCTTGAACAACATCGGAAGCCAGAGCTACGGTGGATACTAAAAACCCTGCATGATCTGAAGTACATTATACCTTGGGAAGTATAGCACTATAGTAAAGCAAGGTCATGCAGCATTTTCACATCAACAGTAAGAGGAAGAGCTTGAGATGGGCTCACCGGCCTTGACCTTGTCACCGTCCGCCAAGCTCTCAAAGTCCTTTCCTTGGGAGGCCACCAGGCCACACCCCGCAGTGCGTGCTTGATACTAGCCACGTTCAGTCAGGGTGCCTGTGAAGGACTTCTGGGCCTTGGCAGTAGAGATGCGGCATTAAGTTCTATTCGGAGTCAACCGTAAGGTTCGGACGAGCGAGTCTGCGCCCGTCAAGATGCCGAGCTTGCGGGCAATTGCTTCCTGGGCTCCAAAAACACAACAGATCACAAGAGGATACCATATAAGGTTTTTTGGACACTTCTTTCAACTCGGCTCTGCGGACAAAGCTGCTGCTGTTCCTTTGTTGTCCCCGGTGATCATCACCACCTCAGAGAGGGCATGTAATCTGCGCTTCCTCAACTCCGTCCTCCGTATTTCTTGACTGCGTAGAAAAGAATCGACCCTGAAAAGCCTAGCTTAGTTCCCGCGTGTGAGCTATCTGCCTGATCTAGCCACGCTGTTCGGCCAGCATGATCCCGCCGGTCGGGGTCACTTGAGGAAACATTCAGCTTTGCAAATTACGTAACTCAGCTAAGGCTCACTGATGCCGGCCAGCCGGCACTCCTGGATGGCTCGCAGGCCTCCCAAACTGACAAACGGGAAAAAAATGGAAAAAGCAACCGCCACTTTTGAGTGGCTGCCTGTTTTTTGTTTTGGAGGCGTGAAATTTAAAGGGTATCTCCGGCAGTTGCCAATGAAATCTGACTGCATGTCGCAGAATCTATAACCAGGCGGCATTCCGGCCGAGGTGGGTCAATGATCCCGACAAGGCCCACAAACGTGAGGTCTGTCTCCACCTGCAGGCAAGCGCATCTCTGCAAAGATATTGCCTTCAGCCGGAAACAGAAGGATCGGGCGATTGGAAAGCATTATGACATGCGCCATTTTGCCCGCAACAAACTGTACAAATCCGCAAGGCTGGGGTCCAGGAAGCTTGATGGCGGACTCTGATCAGCACCAAACGGCAACAGAGAACATCTGCTAGCACCAGCCTCCTGCCCCTCTTGAGGCTCATCTCTACTCCGCGGCTCTGTGCGCAGTTCAAACAAGAGCTATGTCACGGCGCTGCCCACGCAGCTCATGAGTTGTGCGCCTGGGAGGGGCCATCCAATGGAGCATTTCAGCATGTCTGCAAAGCCCTGTGAAAATGCCGACATATGCCGATGTTCTCTGTAGTGGCCATTCTGTTCTGCAAGGCTTTGCCTCGAGCATTTGATGCATTTTTCTCTGGTGGCCATCCCTCACGACCCTGACTCACCACCCAGCTCTTGCTTCTCAACAATGAATCTGCTGCACGCTTTGCCTCCACCTCCCGAAGCCATTGCGGCATGAAGTTGGGTCATCTCGCGCCTGATCACTTTGATGCTGGGTTGACTCCCTGTTCCAAAATCTTCTGCATACAAGCTGCGTGCTTCTGCATGCAGTGACGGGCCTGTCAACCTACAAGCCTTTGGCATAGCCCATTCGTTTCAACCCGTTCAGGGCAAAGTCCAGCGCAGGTGGGTTCCTGTGCATGAAATCGTGGACTGCAGGCACTTATGGAAACGAAGCCTGGGAGTATTACCAATCAGTCCAGAACATGCTTTCATACTTGCAGCCCCTCGGCTCGATAGTTCCTGGGATGGGCGGTAGCTTGCCATCCGCCATGCCACGGATGTTCTTCCGCAACACCTGATGAGTCATCAGGCGTTGCTGCTACTCTCAAGCCCGACTGTTTCAACAGCTTTCAGGCGTGCGCCTGCCTTCTGCAAGCATGCCCACACAAAGAGGACAATTGTTAAAGCAAGGCCTTGCCACTTCGCGTCTTTGGCAGCTGCTCCACGACCTTAACCCAATGCACAAGGCTTCATTCTGTCCACCAGCAGACATTTGCTTTGCAGGATTCTGCAGGCTTTGCTGCCAAGGAGGCCTCCGCGGCTGCCAGAGAGGCAATGGCTCCAATGTCGTGGCGGACCATGGCTTTCACCTCCTGGACCTTATTCTTTTGTTCTTTCTCGTGTTTTGTCTCACTTGCCGAAGATGCCTTGTAATTGAGAATCCGGCCAGCTCGTATCTGCTGCGCGATGCATTGTCCATGAGGACTAGCAGGGCGATTGGCACCTCCACGGCTGTCAGCGCTTGCATTAACTCTTCGGTTTTTAGATAGCTGGTGCTGGCCAACTATTGCCTTGCCTCAGCAGCCACAGGGCACATGCCAACCAACATGGAAAATGTCTTGTCTTGGGTCCATTTCTGATCACCCGCCTGACCCTTCAGCTCATCAGCTGCGCCAACAACCGCACAGTCATTGATGTCCTTAGATCCAGTTCATTGAAGATCAAAGCAACGGCCGTCGCCGCATGATTATTTGGTAGATGTAGGAAGCCATTCGCAGCGACCATAGCTGAGTGGAGGATTGGAGCCCCCCTTCCCGAGTAGTCACCCTAGTTGGCACCAAAACACACCAGCAAACGCGAGTGATCTCTCTGCATTCTGCGAGTCCGGATGGGCCTTGATGCATGCCTCAATCTGCCCGCAGCTAAGGCGGTGTGCTGCCACATTGATCACATCGTCACTACCTTGGATGAGCAATGCCCACCCTTGCTCAAATGCTTTGCCTCTTGTTCCAAGTGCCAAAGCAGACGAAATTGCGATACGCGGAGCTCGGCTCTGGTTGCAAGTTTGCCTCACACATTTTTGCTAACTGCCTAGCGACGTTCAAGGACGCTGACATATCCATGGTCATCGATCACGCCAGAATCGCCGCTGTTGTAATAACCGGGGAAGTCTTCCAAGTAGCCCTTCACAAAACCTGGCAGCCACGCGGGCCGGCAGGTTGCGACACTGTACTCGGAAGCCAATTTGGACTGGAATTAGACGGATCTGGAATTGCAGAGAGAACTGCCACTCACCGGCCTCCTGTGTAATCGAGTGAGGTGTCAAGATTTCTGGACGTAAGGCGGTCAATGCACCGTGCCTTCATCGTTGTTCCACAACGTCGGAAACGTCCCGGGCGGCAGAGGCAACTTCACAACCAAGTGACCAGCCTTTGCCGAGAAGCAGGCTGCTCTGTTGGTGCTACGCTGCCTGATCCCAACTATCTGCTTTCGGACAACATGGTTGGGCTCTTGCATCATGTGGCCGCGCTCGTCGAACACCTGGATGCATGGAACTGGGCAAACTGAATATAAGCTATTCGCAACCCCGAAATAAAGCAATTTTGGGTAATCTTTCCAGTAGCCAATAACTACAATTGAGGGCGTGCTGGTTTAAGCTCGAAAGGCCTCATCCAGCACCTGTAGACATGTAATCCCGCTGTAGGAAAGACCCGCAGGAGAACTCTGGGACAGAGTATAGGGCAACGATCTTTGGCAGTGGATCCCTCAAAGTATGACCCCTGAAGCACATTATCAGGTGCCATCCTCCGCATTGCAGCACAGAGGGCTTTATATGAGTGCTCTGACTCCAAGTGGTGGATGTCTGGCAACGACTTCCTGCAGAAACAACCTTACATGAGCCAAACTGCAGCGACGTTGTAGCCGAAGAGGGGCAAGCCAGCACTTCCGTCCTCTTTCTTGCCAACAGTTACCATGCAAACCGGTTGACCATAGGTTTTGGATATGTCTTTTCCATGCAACGCAGGCGTCCTTCCGTCCTACAGCGTCATCTTGCAGGCCACAGATTGGATGCCCTGAACAGTGGCTCGGACAAAGGAGCAGGTAAAGTCTGGAGCGGAGTTCTCAAGAAACGCATGTCCATCAATCGGAAGATCGTCGGGAGACGAACCCAAATGGCACCAAATCAAGGTATGCGCGTCTTGCCCACAATGGTTGCAATGTCCAAACCACGGGCCTGTTTCTGTCTGCCACCAGTTGTCATAATAGCCGACATTAAGAAGCTCAGCATAGAATCGGCTCCTGACGGATCCATGTGTTCGCTGATAAGCTGGTGCAATGCATTATTTCGAGAAAGCCTGTGACTGCCAAGGTATTCATGCATAGTACATAGAAACCCTAAATAGTAGTTTCCATTTACTTGATCCCTGCATCAGGACTTCGTGCATCCTGGTGGCGTTTCCGGATCGCTTCTCTCACCAGCAACAAAGAGCGATCGCAGGCACGTCAAGTTGTACTTTCCTCGAAGCAAGGAAACCCCTTTTGGTCAGACCAAAAATCTGAGAAGGTTCGGGCAAGTTCTATCTATGAAGCAATGTACAGTTCAAGGCAAGATGCGGACCAGAGCTCCCTCAGGATCCACCCGCCGAATGGCCCGCAGGGCTGTCGGGGCGAGGAAGAGAGCGCGGACGTCATGCTCCTCCAAACGCATATTGGGATATGCTCCGCTTTGCAGTGAGCTTGCGGGAGTTTTGATGGCCCGTTTGAAGTCCTCGACCACGCGCCAGAATGCACCAGCGTCTGGCGTGCCGATTGGCTTGCCCTCATAGAGGACCTTTGGTTCATGTGGCTGTGGAATCTGTCGGGCAGGCATCGTGCTTGACAAAATGTCCTCCAAGCCCCTCGCTGTGGCACAGCCCCGAAGCAAGGGGCCATAAACAATGTAAGAATGGCCGACTACCTCAAATTCCGGCTGTGGGCAAGAGCAACAAAGTGCTTGGGTGCCCTGCAACCTGACTCAGCCTGCCTGCTGACTCGCAGCGAAGTGGCCCAACCTATGTCAGAAGCAGCCCAGTACGTCTCTCCTGGAGCCATCTTCATGAACTGCTCCATCGAAGCTTGCAGGGCCACCTTGCCAACCATGTGTCACTGCTGGACAGCACGAAGCTGAGGCTCTTCAAGCAATAGCTCGTTTGAGATCACCAGAAAGGACACCGAGGGACCGCGTATCCACCAGTGTCTCTAAGAACACCTTTGGGCTTGCCAGTTGAGCCGGATGTGTAAAGCCTCGGGTCTGTTGCTGTGGCGCGGTCTAGCTCCATGCTTTGTGCAGGCCCCTGGATGCACACACCGTTGTTGGGCAACTGAACCACCACTAGACGGCACTAGAATCACTCGAAAGAGGCAAATGGCGTCTGCCAAGTTGAGCTGTTTTTTGTAAGCTCTTGGTTCTTTCTTGCAGTACCAAAATCGTAGAGCGTCTGTGGATGTCTCAACCGAACGGTGACAATGGAAAGCTGACAAATGCGAAATATTTGAGATCAACCAAGTTTTTGGCATGTTTGAGGTCATCACGTGTAAGCTTCTCCTCCAGAGTTTTGGCGTCCCGTCTAGCTGTTGCGATGCGTGGCGTTTGTCCTTAATGCCTGCACATACTTATCTGCCCGCCCTTGTTACATCCCGCGTTGTTACACGCAGCGTTTGCACGCAATGGTGCTCTCTCTGCAGCAATGTCTTCAAAGCTGGTCTTGCTTGGTCAGCAGGCATGCCGCTGCTCAATAGCAATAGGAAGGCGGTTGATTTTGAAAGATTTCCAGTCCCTACGGGAGTAGACACGCAGCTGTTTGCTTGCTTGATGCAGCAGCCAACTACCTAGCTCGTTGTCTCTACTGTTGGAGCCATTGCTCGCCTAAGAAATTGGGCTCACTCGGCTGAGATCAGCTAAGCAACATATACAGCGGATCAGTGGCATCCACCTGTACCTTGGCAAAGCAGCTGATGTACCTACTGTAGATGGAGCGCACCAACTCTGGAAACGGTAAATCAAACCAACACCTCTGTGCATCTTTAAATCTCCATGCCAATACTGACACCCAACAACATGTTGTTCGCTTTAAATCCTTAGCGCACCTCAAACTTTTGACGATGTCATGTCAATGTTGAGTTCAGGCGAGTTTCGCAGGCGGCCTCCTCTGCAGATGCGA